TGTAGATAAAAGACTTCCTAGTAGGGCTTCAACAAAGAGTAAGGGTGAACTCCAAGTTGTCTAGCTGGGAAACTGTGCTTAGTGGAGTCCCCCAGGGTACAGTTTTGGGGCCAGTGTTATTCCTCCTGTACGTAAATGATCTCCCTCGTCTACTATCGTCATCGGTCTTACTCTATGCTGACGATGTCAAGATATGGAGAGCGATACAAAGTAAGGGTGATAGCTTTGAACTACAAAATGGCCTAGAAAAATTATCTGAATGGTCCCAAACCTGGCAATTGCTGATAAACACTTCCAAGTGTATTGTGATGCATGTTGGCCACAAGCGTACAGATACATACACGATGAATAACACTGAGCTATCTATTGTCCAGACACACAATGACTTAGGAGTCATCGTTAGTCAAGACTTAAAGACTACTGCACACTACCGTGCAATAGCCGCCAAAGGTTTCAGAACTTTATGGTCCATACTCAGGGTTTTTAGGCATCTCGACTCTAAAACGTTTCTGACTTTTTATACAGTGTTCGTACGCCCTAAACTTGAGTACTGCATACAAGCAGCTAGCCAGTGTCTAAAAAAAATGACAGTGAACTCTTGTAAAGAATTTGGAGAACAGCAACTAGGCTGATTCCCAGAATAGCGAAGCTCCCGTATGGTACTAGACTGACCAAGCTAAACCTATTCCCGCTGAAATATCGAAGAATCAGAAGAGACTTGATCACAGTTTTCAAACTGCTTAATGACAAATTTGCACCTGATATGCCCTCATTTTTCTTGTCCCACAAAAGAGGAAATTTACGAGGACACTCCAAAAATGTTTACAAGCCTAGAACGAATTACTTGTCAGTTGACTACCGACTTTCCCATCGAATCATCAACGATTGGAACTCATTACGTTAACACGTGGTTGAGGCTCCATCCGTCGACTCTTTCAAAGGAAAGCTGGATCAGCTGAGAGACGATCATTGCCAGGACTAGCACAGGCCATCAAGCCTCCTGTCCTTTCCAAACTGAAACTGAAACTAATTACAAATTCCTCAAAGCTGAATATAAGATGACTGGGAAAATAGATATTCAACATCTAACGCGGGGAAAACACATCAGAGAAGGTAGGAAGAGTCTATTCAATTTATCGAAAGATATGGCTCAGCCTTTCAGACGTGAGCATTCTTGTGTAGCACAAGCCTTTTATTCATATTAAATATATTGTTCTATCTATCGTTATTTGTCGAGGAAAAACAACAAGCGTTTAATCTCGATAACAACACCCTCATCGGAATCACCTATTGGAAGTTTTAGTAGCTTTCAGTCTGCATTAGGCCGTGTGCTGTCACATCGTTCGTCTACACTAAATGCATAATTAAGTTTACTCCTCAGATTTCGCTGATCTGTCCAGTAGCGTATCGTAAGTAACTAGTAGATTGATCTGTAAATGGAATCTTCCGGTTCAAATATCCATGCGGTTCTGAGACTAACAATTTAATTTATACTCAAGGATCATAAGCCATCAAATGACTGTGAAATCCTCCAGCATGAATTTGCCTATTTTTTAGACAATTCATACAGGCAAGTAATGAGGTCCTTAAGGCGAAAAGTAACACCAATAAGAAACTCAAAAGATTCAGTTAGCTTACTATGACTGATAACAGAGATATTATATATATGAAAGACTATTGTTTCAGAAATCCTTCTGTCCGGAGACGAAAGATTAAGAGGTATCGATCAACAAATAACTTCCAGACAGACCAATACTAATGAAAAATTTCGCGCCCTATCGAATATCATCAAGTATTTAGGGATACAGCAAACTAATGGATGGAATGAAAATAAATTAATTAATTACTAAAAAATATCATTGCCAAGATTTTGGGTATTTGATAATGGTTACAACCTTGACCAGCAATTCAACTTTGTGCGCTATACCAACTTTCCCTGGGTTTTTTGTCATTGTAGTCTCCTAAACGCGGAACGAGATTCTCAATGCTTTGCCTTTTATTTTTCGGGAAAATATTAAATGTCAATATTTTAATGGTAATGCATCGATAAAACGCAAATTCTCAAATGTCTATGTTAAGGCAATATGCAAATACGTTTTAGCGTATTTACATACAAGCTTGTATGCATATTGCGGCAGTTGTTAAGCTTATGCAGAATTTTCCAAAACTACGCACGAAAATAATTATTTTACTACATTTGGTGTTAGGTTGGGATGTAAAGTCGAGTTATTGATAAACGTCATTTTTTGGCGAGACTAAAGAACATGGACGACCTTTGAACGAATTATAAATGACCTTGAGAAATATTAGCCAATCAGAAGACAGTTAGCATACAGTAAAAATATATTATACAAAACTCAAAAATTAAAGGGGATACTGTTCTTTTACATGAATCAAAAACTTATCAAAGTCAGATATAGGTTCAGAAGTTCTAAAATTATAGTGCATCCGGCACAGGGACTCATCCCTGTGGCTCCATAGTAGTCGACCTCTGGAACCATGATAAAGTCCCGAAAATTCTTTCAGCCTCGATCACATAGTTTCAGTGTTGTCGGTATGTTGATATGGTTTAGGGTTTAGGATTAGGGTTAAGGTTTAGGGTTACGGTTAAGGGTTAAAGATGAGACTATAAATTATGGACGACATTTGAGCGACGCTAGAGTGAATCTGAGAGTGTCAACGCAATAACTAAGACTAAATGAGGGTTATAAACCCGTGTGAAGAATTCAAATTATGATTTACAGTTCATGGTTAAGGTTAGGAATTATACTTAGGGTTTTCATCACGAATTGACATCAGCTATAATGCCACAATTGCAATGAATTTTGCGCCAAAATCTTATGATAGCTTATCTTGTAAACGCTTAATTATCATGTTTTCTCTAAATCAGTTGTATACCGACCGTACGTAAGCGTCAGGTAACGAACTTAGCGCCGTGACCTTGAAAACCCGCGAAAGCTTCTGATTGGCCCGTCCATGTTCTTTAGTCTCGCCCATTTTTTCATGTTGAAACTGGCAAACCTATGATTTATGGACTAGCCGATCAGAAGCGTTCGGGGGATTTCAAGTTTACGGCGCCAGTTTGAGTACCTGATGCTCATGTATGATCGGTTCACAGAAGATTTTAGAGTAAACTTGACACTATTGTCAATGCATTTTCCCCTTTGTTCGCCTTTACTTCCCCTTTATTGGTTGTTTGGGGTTAAGCGGCTACAACAAATGGGACTAATAAGTTCTTGTATTTTTAATTGCGGTAATTAAATGAATTGTAGACCTTGTACGGAATACCGTGATGTCCTTCGATGTAAAATATGTTGATGAATTACGTTTGCTAGAGCAACGTTTTCTACTCGATTCAGATTGAGGATGAGGTATATTATAGTAACTGCCGCGAACTATATGATAAAATCAACAGTAACATTGGCTGCAATAATCACAGATGTTACTGAAACTTCGGCTGTACAGTGGTATAAGTAATGTATGGACATATCCATAATAAAAATGATAAAATTACACAACCGGAGTACACAAATACAATAATGAAGCTTTGTGGTCGAGCCTGAAAGGGGTTTTATGAACATATTAGGGCTCCAGAGACCGACTATTATGAAGCCATATGGATGAATTCCTCTACCGTATGCATTGCGACCTTTATTTATTCAAACACATACATATTGGTACAAAGGGTACCAGATACAATATGCGACCTTAGGAACTTTTAACCTCTTTCTAACATTGACAAGTTTTCGGACCATATAAAATAAGTGTGTACACTTTTATTCGGTTTCGTGTAATATATTTGCACTCTGTGCTGTCTGTTCACTGATTGGCTAATATTTCTCAAGGTCACCCAATATTCGTTCAAAGGCTGTCCATAAATTATAGTCTCACCCCGAATCTTTTTGTTAATTGGGATATATGTCACTTTATTATTCTAAATCGTTTCGTAGGTGAAAAGACTTCCAGTTGGCTTCAAAGTTTCTCGCGGTCGCCCATATAATTTTCTTCCACACATATGGTCAAAACTGCTCTTCGTTGTCATCCCTTCAGAAATGAATCCGTTTTAAAAAATTATTAGTTTTCAAGTTAACAGACTAGATAATTGTCAACACTGTTGTAGCAAAACACATCCGAGCTGATTTTTCCCGGCAAAGCGATTGATTTCCGCTTGCGTGTATTTGTGTACTCATTGGCTTACATAGTTGGCACTTGAACGTCTGAAAATCATTGCTGATGTGGGCTATTACGGGATAATGTCTTTAGATGCTGGAAACTCGTACGGTACTCTTGTTTGGTTACTAAAATCACTTACATTACTTTGAAAGTCACAGTTTAATAACTGGTACTAAAAATCTTATGTTTGCTACTGTTGCATCGGCTGAACGAATCTTCATTCCCAACTCTTAATTGTAGCTCTTAATCCTAATCCTAGTTCCTCAAATCAGTATAACCCTCTTCTAGCCTTAGAAAGTAGTTCAGGTGTAATTTTACCGTCGTTCATATTTCTAGTCTCACCATGTTTCGTATTTTTCTTCTTCATAGTCGTCAAACCTTTTTTGTTTTGCTAATTTTACGTAAAATTGATTAACATGTTTAAATAAGGTGACATATTGTTTCTTTGACTGGATAATATAGCAGTCTATTACGTTCACCCGTCCATCATGACAAACTGCACGTCAATTTCGGTTATTGCCTCTGTAAAATTATTCTGTTTTGTATTAAAAAGTATCTTGTCTAACGTTTTTAAAAATGCTTAATGTCTCCCTATGACTCAAGTATTTATCTTCAAAGTTGTTTTGTAACCAACGTGTATCAATGGTTAAAGGGCGAAACTGTCTCTTGATGGCTGTATATTATAGTTGGGATTTTCAAGAATAACAAAACACGATAGTCTGTATTTGTGTGGATGTTCTTTTCTTTTGTTTGTAGTGCTTGCCAGCAAGGAATTATGACAGATTTTAGTGGCATTCCTTAAAACATTGGAAACGTTAACATCTTCAATGAATTTATCATCAGTTTTGATAACCTTCTTAGCATGCTCGCCTACTCTTAGATTTTCGATGCTGTCTTATGAATATGTTTCTTCTGTTGTCGAAACAGGTAATTGGACATTAAAAAAAATAATTTTTTCATGTTTTCTTGGTCAGGTGAGCTTAGCAGTCCTTAGGTCTATTTTTAGTAACGTGGCTAACTATTAATTGTTGCCCACATCATGGTCTAAGATGTATACAAATACCAAATGTCTACTTGATAGTTTTACTTAAACGATATCAAGTTTCATACTTAGAGTCTTGGCTTTTCGTAAATTTGTATGAGTTCATTTAGGACATCAAAAAAATGGTTTTTTGAAAACACTTTAACGCCTCACTCGTGTTTATCAAAATTTACTGTCTGTTGCACTGTGATGAGGAAAAAATATTAATGAGATGGAGCTTTGTCATGTTTTAGTAGACAAAAGTCTTATCTTACCAAGCATGTCCAGCCATGGAAGGGATAGGGGGGTTACGAATTTCTTCTGTACACGTAAATTGGGATGTAATGTACGACTTCCTATGGCTTCTGCTATATGAAGTAGACGGGAGCGAACTCCGTTGGGAAACGATGGAGGTATACGATAGATCACTTGAAATGATCTCAATTTATCGACAATATGACCACTATCAATTAGATGTGCCAAGATAGAACTGCGTATTGTTTTTATTTGGCCCTTTCCAAACCATGCTGGTAGATGTTCACTCATTCGTTGGTTAAGTTGCCTAGTAGTACGCATGATATAGCTATCTCCACAGGAGCAGCTGAACTTATAAATGCACATAGAGGAGGCCAACTCAGGTAACTTATCCTTCGTTTGAGTAGACATCACCGGTCGACTCGAGAAAGTCAATGCAAGATAGGCTGCGTAGAAAGTTCTACTAATTACTTTTATTAACCTATCTTTCAGAGTTTCACTAGCTTCATCCCCATTGAATGGCAATTTCATGTATAGAGGCTTCTTACGAACAGTTGAAATCTCCGATTTCTTCCTTGTATCATACATGTACTTTTTGATGAACACAGCAGGGTAGCCGATCTCAGTCAGTAAATTATAGATAAATTGCAGTTCCTGACTTAAAGTATCAACGGAACAGATCTTATTTGCTCTACTAGTGAGGCATCTAACCAAGTTTCTCTTATATTGGATAGGTGTAAAGCTATAGGAGTGAGTGTATTGGCAGGTAGAGGGTCTTTTTCTATACACGCTTCTACTTAACGAGCCATCACTTCGCCTGCTTAGTGTAACGTCAAGGAAATTCAGCTTCATGTCACACTCGCCTTCACCAGTGAAGTTAATCGCTGGATGTACACTGTTAAACTGTTCTAGTAGTTCATCCTTACTGGTGTTCTGATCCACAACAATGAATGTATCGTCGATGTAGCGGCAGTATAGATCGAACTTCTTAATAGCCTCCTTAAGTGGGCCATTTTCTAGCTTAGCTAAGAAGAGATCAGCGAGAATCGGGCCTAGAGGTGAGCCCATGGCTATTCCGTCTATTTGTCTATAATAGGAATTGTTGAAGACAAAATGAACATTCATTGTACATCTTAAAAGCAGTTCTTTCAGACAATCTTCCGGCAGGCCAATGTTGATTTGTTTTTCAGTTATTTGCTCGCATATGAACTCAATAGTCTCCATAAGTGGTACGTTAGTAAACAAGGATACTACATCTAGTGAGAACATATTTTTCATACTAACATTCATATTTTCCACTTTGGAAGTGAAGTCGAATACATCTTTTACACTCGTACTAACAATTGATTTGTGCAAGGGCTCTAAGATACATACTAGCCACTTTGCAATTTTGTGATAAGGGAAATTGAACATATCTAGGACTGGGCGCATTGGAAGACCTGGTTTATGAACTTTGGGTAAACCATACAGTCGTGGCGTATAAGATCCAGACGGTTTAATAGAATCAAGAATCTCTTGTGTAATTATTCCCTTATTCTTTAAATCCTTAAGAGAGTTAGTCAATTGGTTTTCCACTTTTTTATTGATATCGGAATGACTGGTGACTTTTTGAAATTTGCGGGGATCATTAACATTGTTTCCATCTTTTCAACGTAGTCCTTTTTATTCATCAGCACTATGCCTCCTCCTTTATCAGGTTTGCTTATAATCAAGGTTTCCTCCTTTCTTAGTTTAGTTAAAGAGTCTCGGTGCTGCTAGGTAAGTAGGCGGTTTGTAGCACTCTTACTATTCTTATATTGTTGGCTGCTGTCAACTAAAGTGGTCTTAAACCTGACTAGGTCATCTAATGAGGTAGGAATCAAGTCACTTGCTTGTGAAAATAGATTCTCAAACTGTACATCAATATCTAATTGGTTGATTTTATGTCTACTATCACAGAACTTAGGCCCCAAAGATAATGCTTCTAGCTGTATTACATCTAGTTCGATATTGGAAAAATTGTGTACGTACCGTTTCGGGTCGAAAGGAAATTCCTTATCTGGTTTTTTGTTTTCCAAAGTTTTCACCAGTTTTGTCATCGACTTATCAGATCTATTCTTGGAAATTTTTTCAACGTAATCCATGAACATTGACTGAAGCTCAGACGGTAGGTTTTCAACGGAATCTTGTCTCTGAAGGAGATTCCTTTCCAAGTCACAGATTTTCATTTTTAATGTATCAATTTGATTATATGCATGTCTTTCGAGAGTTTTTGCATTAGGATAGATTCTTTTGCGGCTCAAAGACTTCCAATATATTTTAGGATAACTGTTGGATTGTATACAGTTTATAGCAAATCCTAAGCTCGTTCTCGCTTCTGTGAGACGTGCACTGAACTTCAGGAACTCATTGAGTGCGTTAAATGCAACAGGGTCCCCACGTGATTTTAGAATATTAAAGATCCCCATTGTGAAAATTATCTAATTTTAGTTATCTAATTTTATCTAATTTTAGTTATAGGGAAGGCTTTTAATCATTGATGAAACAGTGTTCGGGTATCAAATGTTAATAGATAGATAAAAACAGTGATCTAACATGTGGGCGGGTGATGGCTGCTCACGAGACAGTGTTGTTGACTTGGTACTTCAAATGATTTGAAATGATAAACAACAGCGCTAGCTATAATACTAGATTATCTGGTGCAACAGCCCACTTACATAGAAAGCTTTGATATAAAATTTAATATGATAAAATATCCTGGGTTGTTGGATTAAATAAGTTCGTAGGCCACTTATCCTGTCAATTGGAACCTAACTATTAGGAGTGATTTTCAGACAGTGGATCACCTACATAAAGTCAACACGATAAAAAAATGATTTTCAGAGGCGACTGAAGGTCACTTGTAGACCATTCACTTGAAAGCCCCCAAATACCCCGGTATGGCCGAGAGTGGGGAGAGTCAGACACGTGCATACAACCACTGCCCTGGGAGTCCTACTCATAGCCTTCTCGCGGCACGAAATTGAGAGGACGATAAGCGATTCTCGGCGATTTAATCGGATTGGTGGACACGGAGTGTACCTAGGGGAGTTGGAAAACCTTCATTCCAAACCAATGGTGCACATGGGCTCCAGGATCCTAAGAAAACAAATGAATTATGAACCAATTACTTGCCACCGGTTACCATGGGACTGCATCTTCCTTGCACCAATGTATATGTATTTAAATAAATGATAAATAACTCACTTGAAGACATAAATATGAAGTCTTATTTCTATTCATCTTACTTTCCGTTTCCGCGAATGGCTGTTGGTGTTTTGGAATGATACTTTCAGGGTTTCAACCTTTATAGTGTTAGCTTACCGTATCCTGATGGAATCCATATAATTCTCACTTTTTCAGGCTTCAGTAATAAAATTTACTGGCTATTTAGTACTGTTTATGCTTAATTTTCTCTCTTATTTTTGCAATAAATTTAAATCGTTGAAGAATTCGAAGGCCTATTAGAAGAATATCTGGGTTGGGCAACTTGCTTTAAACTATTGTTTCATGGCGATACTCGTTGAAAAGACAATGATATTTACTGAAAATAAAATGATGTAGTTCTTCAATGTTGAACTGTCTCCTAGATTTTTTGTCTATTTATCAGCTTGATACACAACAACATCTCGTCCTTTATTTTGTCATTATTCTAGCTGCTTTTCAGTTGTTTTTCATTTTTTTTTGCAAGTTTCCACTTTGGTAGATTAAGAGCCATCATAAGCAGTTCGGTGCTGTAGAGTTGATGTATTTGACTTTCATTCGTTGAGTCTCTGATATTTACAGAATAGGTGACATCAAATGCTCTCGGTATCATTTATTGGATCACACATTAACGTATATCTAGTGTTGATAATTTTATGATGATTTATCAAACATTTTTCAAGTTTATTATCATCGAATGTAGTCGTTTGTCGATGACTCAGATTCTATGCAGTTGGTTGTAAAGCTGAACTACAAGAGTTTGTTAATGACAAGCATGCAAATCACATTAGTCACGTGGCATATTATATAAAAACATGTTTTCTACGTATAATGAAGTAGAAAATCTCATGAAATAATTATTATTTATTTATTGTATTATGAATAAGTTGATACAGAAAAATATCTTAATTTGTTTGTAGAATCAGATACTTCAGTCTAGCATTAGGAATAATACCTGGGCTTTATAATTAAAATCTGGATATAAGAATTTACGACTGCCGTTTAGGATTCGGTTTCATAATTTAAAGATTGGTATTAGGTTTTACGGCTAGCCTACCTGTACTTTGAATCATAACTCTAACCTTACAACGTTAACTCCTCATCTTAATTCTAAGTTCAAATTCTGAATTCTACATGCTAATTACTAAACTATGTATTCTAGTCTTAATTCTAATCCAAATTCCTGAACTTAACATCCTAATTGTTCTGTATAACCACTAAATCCTGATCTTAAATCAAAATAATAAATATGAATTTCGATCCCTGGTACTGCCGAGAGTGAGGAGGGCCTCCCTCTCTCGAAATGCTCTAACACTGCCACGCGTATGCAGTCTATGCCAGGGAAGTCCTACTCACTGCCTTCTCGTGGCACCGGTGTTGTTTACGAAATGGAGAGGATGAAAATCGAATGTCTGGCGCTTTAACCGGGTTGGTGGACACGGAAATTCCATCTAGGGGAGTTGAAAAACCCTGATTCCAAACCAATCGTGAACATGGGCTCCAGTATCCTGAGGAAACATATGGCGTATAAACTTATAGTTGGTCCCCTACTACCAATGGACTGTATCTCCTCACGATGTTCCACTGCCTCGTGGATCAGACCTTTAGGTCAAAGGCTCGGGGTGTGGCTCCCTAAGAAAACCACCTGTTTCGGTCTGGACACTCGGACAGTACCATAACCCTCACACATTTAAATGAAATGACAATTTTTTGTGTGGTGCATATGTATCTGGTGCCTCCTCATACCAATGTTTGTGTTCAAATACTGCATTCTAATTGACTGAATAGATTAGGAGTTTGTCCTGATCATTTTAAGTCACTGGAGCTCACATTTATAGTTTAACTTTACATATTTAGTACTGACATAACATATTTACGTATTAGTATCATGGCTGAAAAACTATTTTTTCATTATTTGAATCATGAGCATTGTTATTTAAATACATAACACAGTAATTAGAATTTTCTATAGGAATATATTTTTTGAATAAATTTGAGTCCAACCCATTGTTTTTCTAATAAATAAATAGTGTATTTAATATATCCATTACTTTTGCTTGTGTCCTAGAATTCATCATCAGCTATTATGAACATTCTTGTGCACAATCTCGTCATCGTTTTCTAAAATCCATACTCAATTCGTTTCCATTGAATTATTCCATAATGGAGAGATGGTATCCACCATCTAATGCGAAGGAGAAAAAAAGTGATTTTGATGTAATCAGGGTAAAATGATTAATTATGTGAATTGATTTACGATTTGTAATTTGTTGTACTGAAGTTCCTCCTTACTCATGGAACAAACAGTATTGTAGGTCTACTTCAAATGCTTTTATTGAACACTGTTTCAAATCACATAATCAATCGAAATCATATCCTAACTGGTTAATAACTGTTACAGTTGATATTCTTATATCTGATGAAAAGCTCTCATTTTTTATCCTGTAAAACATTTGAAATATAGAAAAAGTTATTCAATGTATATATCACTTTTAATCTTACATGTGGATGAGAATCAGGAGTTAATCCGAACGAAATGTGTGAAAATGTTTATTTTCAGAGTAAATAAAGCGGTAGCTCAGTAGTCAAAGCAGTGAACTTTCAGTTAGTAAGCCTTAAATTCGTATTCTATCTTTCCTACACTACTTTTGGCAACTGGGTAGTATAACCAGTCTGGTTTGACTCGTAGTATAATAATCTACAGCTGGTAAGTGAGTTTTATGACTTCGGGGCTCCAGTTTGTGTATATTGGGCAATAAATCAGTCGTCGTCATGAAGAATTAGGCATGAAAGCTATCTGTTTTGATTTAAGATTATTTTTATATAGTCCAATTTGACCACTTACGTAGATTGAGGTTGATAGCTCTTTGATTAATGCTATACACAACCTTATTTAGGTCTTTAGTCATCTTGAGTTAAAATCATATGGTATTTGCTTAACGTCAGCTTCTGTGTACATTAGGCTTTCTGCACTCACTTAACTTTTTAGTTGTCTCATTCTCCAGGTACTTGGATATGATTCAAAATGTAAGCGTAAGTGCTAATGATACTAGTCGGTTGGCCAAACTTAATTATGTGGAGCGGAGCTCAAACCCAAGACTAAGTAGCTGAAAGTTGAACGCCTTAACCACTAAGCCACCGCTCAGTATACAGAATAAATTAATGTGATATGTTATATTGATACATTGAATAGTCGGATTTTTGACTAGCATTGAAACTTAAACCCAACAACTTTCACTTCAATTGACAAAGTATTATTCAATTAACTACCGAGTTCAGGATGCTGCTAACTCGTTCAACAGGTATAATGTTTTTGTTATTATTAGTAACAGTGATACAACTCATAATATTAGTTCTGGGTTTTACGTGGATAAAGAGAACATGACAAATAAATGCTCATCATTCTTCGATGGTCATATTTCTTTCGTTTTTCGAGTTTTCTAATAAGATGTCTATCCAAATGGTTTTGTTATTTATTTAAACACATAAATATTGGTACAGGGAAGCACCAAATGCATGTGCGCCGCACAAATCTCATTCGACTTGTGTGAGGGCTGTGATACTGCCCAGGTGCCCAGACTGAAGCAGGTGGTTTTCTTAGGGGCCACACCCCGAGCCTTTGATCTGAAGGCCTAGTCCACAAGGCAGTGGAGCATCGTAAGAAGATGCAGTCCCATGGTAGCCGGTGACCAGCGATTGGTTCATACGCCATTTGTTTCTTCAGGATACTAGAACCCGGTTAAAGCGCCGGATATTTGGTTTTCGTCCTCTCAATTTCGTAAACAACACTGGTGCCACGAGAATGCAGTGTTTCGGACTTCCCTGTCAGAGGCTATATATTCGCGTGGCCATGTGAGAGCATTTGGAGAGGGAGAGCGGACTCTCCCTAATCTCGGCCATACCAGGGCATTTGGAGGCCCTCTAATTGGTGTTCATACTTAGTATAGTATAAGTTACATAAATTACCTTTATGTTGTACAGATCAGTAGGTCTAACTAGCATGTTATCATGTCATTCCGTATTCGTGCTCACTTTTAAAGCTCAATTTTTAGATTCTAAATAATCTGAGATTATTTTATGAATTCTAGATATTTAATCTTAGTCGTATGGATGTATCAAATTTTATCCAATACTTATCTAATGTCAGCCAAATAAAATCAGTTTCACCACAAAAACAAATAAATCGTGTTCTTTTAAACTATGGTATAAATGATGGAGAATTTCTGCACAATTGTAAGTTAGTGATATGTTTTCTTTTACTGGTGATTTGTTTAATAATAGAATTGAATTATGAAATGTATGTGGAAGTTGATGATAAGTCCAATTTATTTCACTCTTCATAGAACTGAATGTAGTAAGAGTCCGCTCACTTACTGTGGATGATCTCAAATGAACATGGATTTGTAGCCTTCACTGCCCTTAAGCGAGGGGGTTATATTTTTTACGGAAGGAGTAGAACGAGAAGCGAACGTCTGGCCCTTGTACCTGACTAATAGATACTAAAAATTAACTTAAGGAAGTTGGAAAACACTGATTCTAAACCACTAGTGTACATGGGCTTTTGAGGCATAAGGGAATGAATAATATATTAACCTACTTTGTTCACTGACTGCGGTGAAATGATTTCTTTTGACGTTACTCTCTTGCTTCATGAACTTTAGAATAAAGGTTTCAGGAATAAATGGGCCCCTAAGAATATCTCTTGATTTAGTTTGGACTTTCGAGCACTATCTCACTCCACACACATACAAATATAATAATAATTATTATTGAAGGATGGTTAAGTGTTCACTGTGTGACTTGAAGTTCTTATGCTAGATATATCTAGTGGAGATGTTTGATGTGCATTGTTGGGATGTCGCATACTTGTAGAACAAATCAGTTTTCTTGTGCTTCTTAATTTTCAGTCGTAATTTAAATGAAATCAATTATATTACAAGTATTCCTTACTGATTCAAGTCTTTTTTCAACAAACAGTTTGAGTGCGAAACGGTGACCAGTGAAGTTCAATCTTTATCAGGTATGAGACAGTTATTCACCGCAGAGAACTCGTGAAGGGTTGTGCAAGATTATGGATTAATTGAAGTTAGACATTAACACTACTGGGTACTGGCTCATTGTTCTACAGGTTAAGTGTTCACACTGTAAACCCAAGACCCTGAGTTCGATTCCCGCGTGCGGGTTTGTAGACCTACATCTCTGACGAGTCCCACAATAGAACAAAACGGCCATCCAGTGTTTTCAAGTTTACACTGTGGTCTAGCTAAGATCAGTTTGTGATTTAAACAGTTTAAAACAAAAAATCGTATATGACAAGTTGATCAAAGGCAATCACGAGAAAAGTGAACTTATAAAAAATGGTAACCCATCTTTTTGGAATCATTGGTTTCTAGAAATGTTGGTTATGTTACATATACCATTATGAATTCACTTTGTATACCTACTTTAAATGATGATGTAACTAATGTGTATATACTATAAACAATTGATTGTTTACACGACATCCTTCTTCCATTTCCAATCTGCCAACCAGAACACCGGAAAAGTTAAATAATGTACTTTGTACTATTTAGTCTTAAAAAAAATTGCATAATTATTATGGATTTATAAGAATACTACCATATACAATAAATAAAAAGTCTTAAAATCTATACTGAGCTAGGTTATTTGTTGTACATTAAAACTGACTGACTGTTATGTCTGGATGACCTGTTAACGTATGATGTGATAAGGCCGCCAATTAGAGAGCAGTGAATTTACTGATCGGATCAATGATACACGGAAACCTGTGCGAGCAGTCTCGAGTACTTATCGGTCCTGCTATCTGCCTAGCCTAGCCCAGCCAGTTAAGTCCAGAACACCAATAACAGCCTCTGCAATATAAATCATTATTCTCAAACATACTGGGTTTATATACCAAACAAACTGATCACATCGTACCAATAAAATAGAAAATAACATTTGTACAAGATTTAGCCCAGTGTGACTGTGAATAGGTGGAACAGTAATTAATAGACTGGGTATGACTCAGGAATAGTAGATAGTACAGTAATAGTCTATGGGTCAAAATAAAGCTCATAATAAAAGGAACATGAATATGAATAGTTAAGTTACTTAGCAATTATGCAATGGGAAATATACATATCACATTAGTCCATAAATAGTCCTCATAGTTACCATTCATAATTCTCTACGGGATATAACAATTTGTTGATATTTTGTTTTTAGAGAATAGTTTTCGTTTTCATCTTTACCTCTCATTTAGTTATTTCTAACGTCTACGTAAATATTTCTACTTCAAAAGTAATGTCATCATCAAATGAACTTTTCTGTAGCTGTAAGTTTCTCGGCACTTCATGGAGGGGAATTTCCAAAAATTCTAAGAGGAAACCATTAGTTATATTTTAACCAATTAGATAGTTTTATCGACCGCATTGTAAGTGATGTGATGTCAGTGGGAACTAACATCTTATATTATATTTGAGATCCATGTGATTAACCTGTTTATTCTGACGAACAGTTGTATAATCTAATCTCTCTCTAGTCCGAATGTTGATTATTGTACTTAAATTGCCTATGTAGAATCGATGACCTACTGCTAATCTATAACACAATAACCTCCACTTGACTACTAACTCAATGACAATTAAGTCAATACTTAACGTCTATAGTAGGTCTAGAACTCAGTCTTCTCACGCCTACTTCCCAGAACAGATTTTAACACAATATATAAATAAGTTCTGTTTGTAAAGTTTAATTTTACGAATGGAGAACCGTTTGAATCATTCATGTAACATATAACATTTGCTCAAATTATGGACACACATCATAGATCTTTGAAATGGTTTGCAGGCCAATCTAACAAACTAAAGGTATCAAATTGTCAAAATAGATATAAGTATGTCAAAGTTAATTCATCATTGTGTTGGCGCCCGTTATCCAGCTCTCTTAAGTGGGATAAATACACCTGTTCTAGTTTATGTACAATAAATCACACACAAATAAAAACATTATAATATATAGACATGAGTATCCTATGAATGAAGGAGAATTCAGTTATGGGTCCATATTTGAATAATAATAACTGAAGTAGTTATTTAATGAATCATTCGAAAGCTTACTGCTAGAGCAACTCAAAAATACAACAATTCAAGTGTTTAGTAATTATTACAATAAAATTGATAATTCTTCGTAAGATAGTCTTGAGAGTTACAACCTACGCAATATCTGCCATTATTATAACAGCGTTTGACACTATTCATTTAAAAGAAAACGTTTGTGGTAAAAAGGCATTTATAATTTTATTTATTTAAACACCTAAATATTGGTACAAAGGGGCACCAGACATATATGCGCCACACAAATCTGGTTTGATTCGTATGACGGCTGTGATACTTCCCAGGTGCACAAACTAAAGCAGGTGGTTTTCTTAGGGGGCCACACCCCGAGCCTTTGACCTAAAGGTCTGATCCATAAGGCAGTGGAGCATCGTAAGGCGATGCTTGACTGATTGGTAGCGTGATCATTCGATGATCATTAAGATTTATCTTCACAAACATAACACCGGCCGTCCAGCGGTTCCAGGTTTTCCTTGGTGGTCTAGCTTCAATTGACTCACGCTTGCGGTTTTGAAAGCACAACAACATTTTAGTGCAACTTTTTTTATGATATCTACATTATTTGAAAGAATATAGTTAATGTATTGAAATCGTTCAACATTTTCCATTAGAGAAATTTAGTGTGAAATTTATAATCAATTGTGAAAATAAAAATTGTTTTTAGATCAGAGGGGGTTTTGTGGAGAATTTGGTATTTTCAAAGTTGAAATCATGGGTCGATTAAAGCTAGACCACCATCGAAAACCTGGAAGCATTGGACGGCCGTTTCGTCCTATTATGGGACTCCTCAATCTGTTGTAGAGATATCAACTCACTGAACGGTCGCTCAAAATCGTGGATTGGTTAAAGTTAGACATTGATACCGTTGGATGCCGGCCGGCTCGGTCTATCGGTTAAGGGCTCCGGCTCGAGACTGGTAGGTCCTGGGTTGGAATCTTGCGAGTGCGGGATCGTGGATGCGCACTGCTGAGGAGTCCCATAATAGGACAAAACGGCCGTCCAGTGCTTCCAGGTTTTCGATGGTGGTTCAGCTTCAATTGACTCATGATTTCAATTATAAAAATTGTTTTGTCGTTTCGTATACGAATGCAAAATACTGAAGGTATAGCTGATTCTAAAAGAAAGATGGTAATTTGGTTATTGAAATTGTAATTCTTCATTAATTGAACTGTTTCACTTATACCTAGTCATCGTCTGTACCAATGGATATTGTTTACTATTGTAAGTTACAAGAAATCAAGTCTTACAGAGGTGTGTGACATTAATCTATTGTGTCTTCGTATGTTGATCTGATCTGAAATCCTGACTACCTGGTATGGATCACCTCAGGAATTGCGATTGTTTATCTTTTCATCAAGAAATTAATTTTATTTTGGGAATTTTTTTTATTTTTTTGTTTTGTGAACATGTGGTCCGCCCCCAAAAAAGATACATGTAGTTTATCTTGGATTCATTGATATTGCATAATTTCGATTACTTTTTAGCCAGTCATCTAGATTCAAGAAGAAATTTGAAACTGGTACGTTTGTTTTTTAAAACTGATAATTACTTTAAATTCACTTAATATTGTTTGTTTGAATCTTCCCATTGATGTATTAGGACTGCAACTGGTCAGTCTCTAATTGGCATATGTGCATACTATGCGTATTGCCTCGATATAGCCTAAATTCACAAGCATGGTAAGCAAAGCTACTGGGTTCGAGTCCCGAAGTGAACATCAACTCTGAGATGCAGGTACATCCGGCTGACGAGTCCCAAATAGGACGAAACGCGCGTCAAACTGGATTCCACTGCAACCCACTATCTATCTTTGCTTACCATGATAATCACTTTATATCATTATTTCTGGATATATTATACATGTATATTTATTATCTCTGTATTCCTTTGAGTTATTAGATACAATGAGTAGTTGAATGAATATCATCAGTTTTAATGCATAGTCCTATTTTGACTGACTGAAATCACATAAATCTCATTTCATTAACGAAAATACAAATGCCTACAATTTTGTATCTTTTGTTATAATAATAACGAGAAAGCTAGGAGTACTTTACAAAAAAGGATGGTTGTTCGACAAATACATATGGTACTAAGATATCTTGAATATTATCTCATTTTACAAAGCAAAATTAAGAGTGGTTATATTATAGTTGAATTCATGAGTTCTAGTGAGAAGCAGTGGCCAGTGGAGTTCAATCGGGTCTGTTGTGAAATAGTAACTCATTGAAGACAATGGTGAATGTGTTGCTCAATTTCGTGGATTGGTTGAGGTTAGACAATAACATCGTTGGATGCCAGCTCAGCAATCTATAGGTTAAGCGTTCTCTCACGAGACTGATAGGTCCTGGGTTCGAATCTCGCGAGGCGGGATGGTAGATGCGCACTGTTGAGAAGTCCCACGATAGACTGAAACGGTCACCCAGTGCTTGCATGGTAGTTCAGCTTCAATTGACTCATAAATTCAACTATAAAATTACTAAAATCTTCACAAAACCCCTTCTGATAAAAGTGGTTACTCCTAAAGTATATTTTATAATTCTTTATATGTCATTAAGCGGTTGTTGGATTTGAGTGAAATCATAAACCGATCTAGGTTAGTCCATCATTGAAAACCTGAATGCATCAAATGGCCATTTCGTCGTAGTATGACACTCTTCAGTAATGAGCATCCACAACCTCGCATGCGGTTATAGAACCCATAACCGTCATGTTCTCTATATTGTTGACAAATATTTTGTGGGAGATTGATAGTTTGTCAAATGGTTGTAGGTAATCGACAGGAAACTCTCCTAGATCTATGGTTTGTGCTAGTTAGCAGTCACCATCATGGCATGCTTGTGATTAGAAAGAATGTTCTATTCTCTGGAGAAACCAACGTCATGTTGCCTAGTTTCTCAGGGTTAGGCGTTACCACTGAGCTATTTGAAAGATGACTGATCTATTGTAGAAGTGAGATATTTTCAATATAGCGAAATTTGTCTAATTGACTCGACATTATTTGCAACGTATTAGAATGTTAATGTTTATTTTATATTCAACATAAGTAATCCATTTTGTTATTACTATAACTTCTTTTTTTCCTGATATACATCAGTTTGGCAATTCACAGAGATATTCTCCTGGAACTTTACCATTAGATCCGTTAAAACAGGTAATCTCTGCTGTTATTATTCCTTTAAAAATCCACATCATATGACAATAATAATAATAATTCTTTCTTCATAAATTTACAAAATACAATGCGAAAGCGAAGTTTATAGGAACTGCGTTTTGTCATATTAGCGTAATACGTTCCAAATAACAATCTGATCATACATATTTATGCAAACCTAAGTGTCATATTAGACGAATTGAAATATCCAAGAATCAAGATAAATCACTTCACTCTGGACATTTTATTTATTTGTTTATTTAAACACATAAATATTGTTACAAGGAAGCACCAGATACATATGCGCCTCACAAATCTCATTCGATTTGTGTGAGGACTGTGATACTGCCCAGGTGCCCAGACTGAAGCAGGTGGTTTTCTTAGGGGCCACACCCCGAGCCTTTGACCTAAAGGTCTGATCCACAAGGCAGTGGAGCATCGTAAGAAGATGCATTCCCATGGTAACCGGTGACCAACAGTGGGTTCATACGCCATTCGTTCCTTTGGGATCCTGGAGCCTATGTGCACCATTGGTTTGGAATCAAGGTTTTCCAACTCCCCTCCACATCCACCAACCCGATTAAAGCGCCAGACATTCGCTTTTCGTCCTCTCACTTTTGTGAACAACACCCCTGCCTTCTGGACGTTCAGAATCAATATTAGCAGTGTATGTTTTTGAATACACTGAAAAGCGGAATTTAAACTTACGTATAGCTAAAACTTAAAAAATAGTAAGTATTTTGTTCTAGATAACTTTTGTATGAAATCTAAATGGTAGACTTAAGATTGATCTCATCTTAAACCAGGATATCACATTATTTTAATAAACCTCGTCTTCTATTATGTCGGTCAGTCGTCTTGTTGGAATATTGATATGCAGACTTCGTATATGCGAGGCTGACTTCCAACATAAGTAAGAAGAATAAGAATTACTAGGGAGTTGTGTTGCCGAAACGAATTAAAATACACAGAAATTCATTGGTATCTATGCATATATACCCTGGAAAATTGAGCCAACTGTCGACCAACAGCGAGCATCCATAAGTACCTCTCAGCTTTGAACTAATACGTAGACACATGATGTACCGTTGCTGCTACCGTGACGTGGTGGTCGGGCTTGCCTATCGTGATGAATCAATCGAGCTATACTGGCTGGAACAATCGTTCCTCAAGGTCTACCATGCCAGGCAGGTCGGTTGAAGAGCGGTAAAACTAAAAGCAGCAATCCCAAGGTCCGAAGGCGATGTCGTACTGCTGACTGTACAGAGGTGTGACAGCAGTAAGGTGTTTCCTTCAGACAACCAGCATGACAGCGATGCTACCTTCCCACAAGGAGGGGTGGGGTTAGAAAAGGTCGACCCTAAAAATGCACACCTCGCCTTATCCCACGGATATCCGTCTCCGGCGGTAAGGTCCTTTGAAGAACGGAGCTAACACAAAAACTACCCACGAAAGGTCGTGTGTGACCGACCTGAAGCAGTTGTCCCTTGGGCACTTCGGTCACGCTCTCAGGTCATTAAGACCACTTCTAACCCAATTTCCTTTTCAGGTACTCTAGAAGAACCCTTCCATGGTGTGGGCAACCGGGCGGTGATAACTGCCCTCATACCTCTAACAGCACTCAAGACCACTATAATACGTACACACAGGCTCATGTTATATTCCAAATGCCTAATCTGTCATCTTTTAATTAGATTATTCAATTTAGTACGTTTTTTTTACAATAAAAATATTGATGCAAGATCCTTATAGAATTCTTCATGTTTATCCTTGTATGATTAGCCATGGAAACTGTTACAGGCGGAATATGCTTGGTCTCGTGGTTTGTGCGGTAATGGTGTTCGTGTGGGCATATTTGATACAGGATTGGCACCATCTGATCATAAACACTATTCATTAAGTAATATTATTGAAAGAACTGATTGGACAGTTGATATAACTAATGTAAGTTGCTGATAACATTATAAAATGTTCAAAAACAACGTCCAACTAGTAGTTAATGGGTTTGTATGTATCAATGCCAAGATTCTACTTCATAGTTTAAAATAAATTTATTTTAATCCAACTAGGTACTTAAGTATAGACTTGCCCACCTAAATGTGATCCACAGTACTTCGTGTGTCAGTTTGAAGTGTGGTACCGCTTGACTGTTCAAATGAAATTAATGTTATTGGATTTTTGACATTAGTATCTAATTCAGAGAACATTTACAAATTAACATGACTTGTTTTCATGATTGGAGGTGCAGATTCACATTGTCCGCTATTCCACATAAATGGTCTAATGTCGATCTGCTTTCAGAATCTTCTACAACCGGTTTAATGCATGTCGCTATCTAATCTCACATTTTTTCCATATGGTGTGGTGGATCTTTGAAATGTCCTTCTGTTAGACCAACAATGAATTTTCATGTGTTCAGATGAATAATACCAAGAAACTATATAATAGCTTCTATCTCTGTTTGTTTTATGAAGATCTTTCATCACGGAACTTCTGAAATTCCACAGTACAACTCGAAAAATTGAATCTCAGTAGCTTCTGAGTTTGTTATTCTCATTACTACTACTTCTCATCAATACTTTGATTTTGTCATTCTGTCCTTCAGATATTGACTACATTCAGTTAACACCGGGATATAAGCTGGCGCTACTAACTGACAGATCTGCCATATAACGTTGTTGAATGTGTATTGATTGCTATGGTTTCTGTTGCATACATTGACTTAGATAGGACAATCAATCTTGTCGAACTACAAAACCGACAACTAGATGCATGCCCAACCAGCATTCGTAACCTTGAGCCATCTGCTAAGTCCTTTTTTGTGCACTATTCTGTAAGAAAGTCCTACTCACTGCTTTCTCGCAAGGCGGTGCTGGTGTTGTTTACGAAATTGAGAGGAAGTCAAGCGAATATCCGGCACTTTGGGTAGGCAGGTACGGAGGATCCATATAGGGAGGTTGGGAAACCTTGATTCCAAACCACTGCTGCAGCATAGGCTTCAGGATCCTGAGGAGACAAATGGTGTATAAACCTACTCCTGGTCACTAGATACCATGGGACCGTATCTCTCTACACTGATCTAATGCCATATGGACTAAACCTCTATGTCTAAGGCTCGGGGAGCGACCCTAAAATCTAGAATTGCTCCTATACTAAATCAGCTTTCTAATCCACATTCTATACCAAATTTGTAATCATAGTCAGTTGTATATAGGTTGACATTGTTGATTAAATTTCTTAAATATCCTTTTATTGTATATTTTAGAGATCCTATTCTGATGATTCTATTGAAGCTTTAGATCGACATGGTCATGGAACATATGTTACAGGTTTAATTGCTGCTCAAAATCCTAATTTATATTACTCAAAATTTATTAATTCTTTTAATAAACATGATGATTCTACTTGTCCACCTTGGGGATTTGCACCACGTGCTGATTTATTCATATTTCGTGTATTCACTGATACACAAATATCTTATACATCATGGTTTTTAGATGCATTCAATTATGCAATTAGTCGAAAATTACATGTTATCAATCTTAGTATTGGTGGACCAGATTTTTTAGATAAACCTTTTGTTGACAAGGTTAGTTGTGATTTTTTTTTAGTATTTTGATAAAATAGATTAAGAGTCCTTTTTTTATCAGTAAAGGGTTGTGGGAAGTTTCTGAGTTTCATTGAAATCACGAATTGATCTTGATATGCTTGAGCTAAGTCGATTTTCTCGTTAATAAACGAAGGCCAATTACACAATGACACAAGCGGCTAATCTAATCCGTTTTCTCAAGCCCCGCTAACTAAAGGAAGAACTTCATGGTGAAGTAGGTGAATATATATTCTGTAAGCAGCCGCGTGCAAGCAAGTCATAAAGGAAAAAAACTCAAACGTATATATACAGCGATAATTTGTACTTGGGCAGCATTACAAAATAGCACACTCAAGGACACAACGGACCAACAGCATTTAAAATATTTTACAAGTGGGAAATACGACTTGAAGGTGAAAAGAGCGCCTTTGGCGCAAAAACAAGGAAATTCAAATTTTCAAAACAAAATTACAAAATTAAGCCATTTACCAAGTAAGTTCTGGGGATTTGACATCCCCAACAGATCTTATACGACCATTATCATGTGATCATCATGACCTATGTGTTTATGTGTTGTGTGATGTGGTTCAAATTCATTCACAATAACACAGATCCATTCACATTTTGTTTATCGTTAGATTTTGACTTTTAAATTTCATCTCATTCATGCTTTTAAATCATATTTTTTACTACCAATGATATGGTTGCGAGATAATGGCAATCGATAGTTAGAGACCTTGAATGACATGGCTCAAAATCGTTTGCAATGGTGAAGGTGCATCCACTCTTTGTGTTCTCCCAAATTCTAATCCTCTGAACTGTTCATATCTCTACCTTTTTTCTATTTTCCAATTTATTTCACTGGATTATACTCCTTCAATAACATCTTCAAACCCTAAACTTTCACATAAGCTTAAACTCTTACTATTTCTTCCACTATGGGATTTGAATCGACAACTGCATCTTCGTGCTAATGTGGTATGGCAAATCGAACTGATGTACGTACGTACGAATTTCTACGTTGTAACTGACTGACTGAGTTTATTGATATTTGTAACAGAAAGTTATTTACAGGTATTTCGCCAGACAAGAACACTTAAGTCTTGAAAGATATAAAGGTATAACAATATTCAACTTCCGTAAAAGACATGATTTCAACGTAACATAAGTACAAGTTATACTTGCATTTTCTTCTTCAGCATTGAAATATCTTAGTAACTGATAAACTAAAAAAGTCTTTCTTGATCATGACGAGTCCCAAATGAGGCGAAACTTATGTCTTAGATTCTACTGCTAATCACTATCCATCTTTGCATATAATGTTTTGTAAGCATAATTTCGTTCTGTATTAAAACACCACTAATTAGTATTCAAGGAGAGAGGATTAAAGGAATGGATATTCATTGGTTAGTAGTTGAATATTGTGTAGAGCACACTGAATCTAGCTACTCAGTCCAAAGTAACTAGTTTGATTTTTACTGTAAACTAGGATTTTCTCATCAACTTCAGTCAGGGAGTATCAGTTCCCTCAAGATTACGGGTACGCCTTGCTGACCAGTGCCAAGTAGCACGAAATCTAGGTCCAGGGTTTTCTGTTGACTACCTCCAACCACTATCTAATCTCAACATAGTGCTCGCATTGTCGAATTACCTAGACTTGTGGCCACATCGCAACGTGATCGATAGTATTCGATCTGCACTAAGAAGGACCTGACATACATGACATTGATCAAAACCCCGTGATCTATCAATTGTAAATATATTGGTAAGAAGCACAATACTTTTTTGGATATCATTTTTAACAAATCGTGTAATGAATGTTCACTTAATGTATGCATCCAGTGGATGCGCACTGCTGAGGAATCCCATAATAGGACGAAACGGCCGTCCAGTGCTTCCAGGTTTTCGATGGTGGTCTAGCTTCAATTGACTCATGATTATAAATATATGTGAAAAACGCTACTTGTTTCGTAGTAGTAGTGTTTACACTAGTCTACACTAGTGTATACACTCTTTATCTTCCCTTAAACCTTAAGATTAAAATTGCTTCATAACGTTCCTCATTCTTATACTATATCCTTATATACTTTATTTATTTAAACACATAAATATTGGTACAACAAAGCACCAGATAAATATGCGCCTCACAAATCTCATTTGATTTGTGTGAGGACTGTGATACTGCCCAGGTGCCCAGACTGAAGCAGGTGGTTTTCTTAGGGGACCACACCCCGAGCCTTTAGCCTGAAGGTCTAGTCCGCAAGGCAGTGGAGCATCGTGAGGAGATGCAGTCCCATGGTAGCCGGTGACCAACAATACGTTCATACGCCATTTGTTCCTCCAGGATACTGGAGCCCATGTCCACCATTGGTTTGGAATCAGGGTTTTCCAGCTCCTCTAGGTGAACTTTCCGTGTCCACCAACCCGGTTAAAGCGCCAGACATTCGCTTTTCGTCCTCTCAATTTCGTAAACAACAGTAATGCCACGAGAAGGCAATGAGTAGGACTTCCCTGTCAGAGGCTATATATTCGCGTGGCCATATGAGAGCATTTGGAGAGGGAGAGCGGACTCTCCTCACTCTCGGCCGTATCAGGACATTTGGGGGCATCTTTATATACAATCTATCTTTTATATACTACCATCACTAAATTAACTATTTCTATGAATCCGGTGTTCATCTTGTTGTGCTAACGAGATATGGCAACTTGGACCGATGCATATGTGTGCCTGGTCCTACGTTGTAACTGACTGACTGACTAGTGTTTATGTGATACTAACCTATCTTTTACCTCCACAACTACTGTCAATTGTAATTATAGTATTTTGTTGTAGATACATGTGTGTATGTACGTGTACAAAATGCAATAAACAAAGATGATATAATGTTAATAGTGGATTTATTAATAAAGGAACCAAATAAATTAAACTGTTTAGTAATGCTAACAATTTTAAATACTTCATCTTGAACTGGCTCTTAACTATTTTAGGGTAATTGAATGAACTTTACACTTTATCGTAAATTGATTATAATTTAATGTGAACAATTGGATACAGGTTCAGTGAACATAATATTCAGGTGTTTGCCACTAATCCTAATTGTCCTAGGTTCGATCCGGTTGTCGGGTTTGTAAGTGAGCACTTCTGAAGTGAATCATACTAGCACGAAACAGTTGTCCAATGTTTCCTGGTTTCAAATGGTTATCTAACCTAGAATAAGTTTGTTACATAAAGTGTAAAATTCAAGAATCTTCACAAATCCTCTATACTAATGAAATTAACTCGTCTCTACATTTTAATTATCATCTCAATAATGTCTTACTTAGTATAACACAAATATCAAGACACTAATTAAACACATTAAGTTATACTATAATTGTGTCGAATTATTAAGGTTTTAGAATTATCCGCAAATGGAATACTATTAGTTTCTGCTATCGGGAATGATGGCCCTTTATTTGGAACATTAAATAATCCAGCTGATCAAATGGATGTTTTAGGTGTTGGCGGTGTAGATGCTTTGGGTCGCGTTGCACGATTTTCTTCACGTGGAATGACTGGTTGGGTAAGAAATATCATGTTTAAGTTTGATTTACTTTGTTGTAGACAGTTATCATTTTTTTTATTCACAGTTCAGGTTGAGTTACTTGGTTTTTAATAAGTACATTAGAAATAACTGAGCACATGTAGGTAAAATTCTTTATCGCCTACATACCTGTCCTACACACTCCGTTCTCGTTGCCGGGGTGTTGTTTAAGAAACATTGCTTTTTCCAAGTGAACTAAGTAGCTCAATGGAAACGTTGACGATCGATACAACAAGGTCAAGTTCGTTGTTGATTTATATTAAGCACAATTGATGAACGACAAACCCCCTGTTGAAACTGACTTCCATAGATGTTTTGAACTATTTAATCGGAGATGAAATTGGTTCATTATCATAAATGAAAAGTATCTTGAAAGTTATGAGATTGTGAAAATTTGAATTTCACAACGTAGTTTTAACAACATCTGTTCCCATATTCTTTGAACAGATTGTGTATAAGTAGTATTATTACTCATCAGTTCATTTTTATTATTCTTAAGTTTATCTTCACTTGATTTTACACTTTTAATCTTGATCAAATTTAGGAACTTCCAGCTGGTTATGGACGTGTAAAACCGGATATTGTTACTTTTTCTACTGGTGTTATCAGTTCTAATCTAGACGAAAAATGTCGTGTATTATCAGGAACTAGCGTAGCATCTCCAATTGTAACAGTTGTTAGTTTATTAATTAAGTGAGTATAAATTTGTGTTTTGTTTCGTGATGATTTGGATTCTTTTCTTTTGTTATTATAGAAAGTTGATGAATACTGTTTACTTTGTTCTTCTAAGAAACTTTGAATTGCTGAATATGAGTTTTTATTATGCTGGTTCCTATCATCTTTTCTTTTCACTATTTTATGATGAAATATTTATTTTATTTATTTTTATTTATTTATTTATTTTATTTATTTATTTATTATTTTTATTTATTCAAACACAAATATTGGTACAAGGAAGCACCAGATATATATACGCCTCACAAATCTCATTTGATTTGTGTGAGGACTGTGATACCGCCCTGGTGCCCAGACTGAAACAGGTGGTTTTCTTAGGGGACCACACCCCGAGCCTTTAGCCTGAAGGTCTAGTCCGCAAGGCAGTGGAGCATCGTGAGGAGATGCAGTCCCATGGTAGCCGGTGACCAACAATACGTTCATACGCCATTTGTTCCTCCAGGATACTGGAGCCCATGTCCACCATTGGTTTGGAATCAGGGTTTTCCAACTCCTCTAGGTGAACTTTCCGTGTCCACCAACCCGGTTAAAGCGCCAGACATTCGCTTTTCGTCCTCTCAATTTCGTAAACAACAGTAATGCCACGAGAAGGCAGTGTGTAGGACTTGTGTGGCAGAGGCTATATATTCGCTGGCTATGTGAGAGCATTTGGAGAGGGAGAGCGGACTCTCACAATTGATTGATCACTGGGTGGTGATCAATCTCATGCGTGTCAGGTCCTTAGTGCTGATCGAATGCTATCGATCAAGTTGCAATGTGGCCATCAGTCTAGGTGGCTCGACACTGCGGGCACTATATATATTAGGGTAACATGGTGGTTGGAGGTGGTCAACAGGAAACCCTGGACCCGGGTTTCGTGCTACTTGGCACTCGTCAGCAAGGTGTACCTGTAATCTTGAGGGAACTGATGCTCCCTGGCGGATTCGATCCCGCGTCACTCAGCTTCACAGTCAGAGACGTTACCACTGAGCTATTCGGGCCGCGACCGACCTCCTGTAGGACTGAGATCTAATCACAATTGATTGATCACTGGGTGGTGATCAATCTCATGCGTGTCAGGTCCTTAGTGCTGATCGAATGCTATCGATCAAGTTGCAATGTGGCCATCAGTCTAGGTGGCTCGACACTGCGGGCACTATATATATTAGGGTAACATGGTGGTGGACTCTCCCCACTCTCGGCCGTACCAGGGCATTTGGGGGCAATTTCGGATTGCATAATGAAATGTAGCTTCATCATATTCATACATTGTTGTATGTTTTTTCCAGATGATGGATTTCAACGAAAGAAATTTACAGATTGATTGTTTAATTCATTTTTGTATTGATTGTTTGAAGAGAACAGTTTTAGGCTCGAGTCACAGAGTGAATACCAACTCTGCGATGTAGATGCATCTAGCTGAAAAGTTCCAAATAACGCGAAACACACCACCATCATCTCTGCTTGAAATTCATTGTTGTTTGTTTGAATACTCTTATTATTGTTATTTGTTCTTATTCTGCATTTTCTATGCCTTTTACATTATTGTTTAGAATTGTATTTTGTGATTCGGTTGATTGTTTAAAATCTTGTACCACCGTTTCCTTGTGGTACAATTCATCCATTTTATGTAGTGTATGATTTATAATAAGCTATTTCACTTTCCATTGCACTATATATCACTACATATACGTTAAAAGCAATTAATCAGTAAATGGATAACTCACTGCCCGTTTGATGTAAAAAGCACTTTATTCAAGCCATAGGATGAATATAAACAATGGAATCTAGGTTAGGAATCCTATATAGGATGAGACGTTTGTTTTGGATTCCACTGTCCAACTTTGTTTGAATAACGAGACGATTCACTCAAGATACAAATATGCTGAAATAAATTGATCAATTTCGGTTCATAAAGTCAGTAACGGCAAGATTATATGCACTTACGAATGAAATCATTGGTGGTTATTTTGTAAATTAAAGCATAACAGTCTACGCTACACTAACTAACTATTTGAAATTTTGCAGATTAGTTTGTTTTGTAAAGATTAATTCAGTACGTAGATTATTTTCACAGATTGACACTCGTTTTTAACACATGTACTGTCATAACATCTCTTATTTTTTCAACCTTCAAAAAAACTCCCCCGAAAGTTATGAAGTAATATTATAGTGAACGAGAACAAAAGTCGAGACAATTGAATGTATTTCAATACAAAATTACAGCATCTCTTAGTAAAATCTGGGAACCATACAGTGAATACTTCATTTGCAAAATGTCAATCAGTTGTCTCAAACTTGACTATTCCTCTGCAAATGCCAATCAATCGTCTGAGACTTCACTGTTACTTCAGTTCCACACCAATCATTCTTTGTTCTCGTTCTCTTTCCTTCGATCTTCCTAACCTTTCGCCACCAGGCATTTCACTTTCGATTGATGGTACATACTACTTATATCTATCGACATCAGTAGCACACACTATAATCGGATGACTGTTTACTAACTGGAGGAATACATTCGGTTATTTTCATGTCTTCTCAAATTGAAAAAGGCCAATTCATTTACAATAATATTTATTTACATTAATTTTAGTGCTGCTTTAAATCATAATGCCAACTTAATTAATCATGAAAATGGTAGTCTATATCATATGAATATAGATAACTATCCATTTGTACCTGTTAATCCAATTAGTATTAAACAAGCTTTAATAGCCAGTGCAAATCAATTAAATTCAGTACGTGTATTTGGTACGAATTCAATAAAATGGTTACAAGAAACTGATCAAAGTAGTATGTTTGAACAAGGCGCTGGTTTGGTAAATCTTCAGTCAGCCCTAAAGGTATGTAATAATCAGCTTGTGTATACTGAATTAATTAAGGTTTTACATTAAAATAATAGTGGTAGTGATTGTGGTTGTGTTTTTCATGTTTTCGATAACTTTATACGAGTTGAGTAAGTTTACGGTTAATGAAATGCAATAGCTCAATGGATAATTCTTTAGATGTTTGAACCTAAAAGTCCTGGGTTCTGGTTTCGATGTGAATAATAACACCAAGATATAGGTGAATCCGACTAACGTATCTTAAAACGGATGGAACATGGATTCCATTGTTGCAAACAAATCAAGTGTATTTTGTTTACATCCATGTGGATATTTGGTCGAAACTGGTGCAATAAATACAGATATAACTTGTATCATTCTATTTTCCTGTGCTTATTGATAATGCACTTCATATTGAACAGTCCTGTTATTCTGAAAATGGAAAAAGTATTAAAAGTATTGAAATGGTACGATTTATTATTAAATAGTAGTTTGAATGAAATATCATATAGATCGATACCGCGGTCCTACCTTGCTTCCATGGCCCAAGTGAAAAACTCCAGAGAGTCTTAAAACTAGATAGAATTAAAGTATGATATAAAACAACTATCAGATAAATTATCTCCACTGCTCCTGAATACACTACCGAATTTCACTATTACTAGCATGTTATTTCCACTTGGTGTAAAACGTCTTTTGGTGATAATAATGATCGAAAATATCGACTCACTGAACATCTTCATCATAAAAGGGGCTAGATTTAACAACGACTGAGCAAGACTGATTTTTACAACTCATTGTTGACCTGACTAACATAATCGAAGATGACAAAGATTGGTATAAGCCTGTCTGGATTTCAACATATGTAGATTGATTTCAATCTGCTGCACAGTCATCGTTATTCACATAGGTATCAAGACAGGTGAGAAATAGACTTGCTGACTTCTTACGTAGTGTATTGTAGACACATACTTCACATTCCTTTTTAACTGAATTATTCAAGTATTACATCAATCAGCATTAACTGTTTTATCGTGATTATTTAGGTCATCATACTAGAAAATCCCTATGTATTGCATGTTCAATTTATTGGTTAAGTAAATACTTCTTTGTTATATCACATTTTACAGATTGTACAGCGTATGAAACCTCAAGCAAGTCTGATGCCTAGTTATTTGGATTAAACACAATGTCCATATATGTGGCCATACTGTTCTCAACCATTGTACTCTTCCATGCAACCAATTATCATTAATGTAAGTTGTTTCTTTATACCTTTTAAACTTTAGTTCATAATAATCTGTTATATGCGCAAAATAAAACGATACGGTAAGAAATAAAATGTTTTTTGCTTGCTACATTATACTACTGTTGTTGTCGACATAAGTAGCATAGATCACATTACCATAATAGGTTAATATAACCAACGACCAAGATTATACCATTTTTAGACTGGATAGTTGATTGATATGCTCTATTCATTTATTTTATCATTGAATAATGACTTTATTCAATATTACGTTTGCTAGATAATGTATTGGAGAGCTTTTATACCTTTGCTTCCGTGCATAGACTCTAATTTGTTGACGTCTCATTCTACCAGAAGACATACAAGTAGAAGGATATGAATGAAATGGATGGTTAGTATCTGATATGATAACACAGAAATTAGTCGTTTGATTCTTCCTATCAGTGTTTACGAATACAAATGAGATACAGAGTGACCTGGTGGGACTATCGAGGTAATCCTCACAGGATTCACAAATTACAAAATAAACTAATTATTTTGCATTTGTAAGCATAAACAGTCAGAAGATTCAATGGACTAATACATATAACTCACAATTTATCGGAATTTATATTGTTTAGTACATTAGTAGCCTAACAGAATTCAGAAAGATGCTCAACTTTCGATTTACGTTTAATTGTTGATTTACTTAGGCTGAATGTTTGTCACAAATACTTCAAATGGACATGTATGCAAACGACCAATCACGTTATACTTTAACCCCTGCTAACATGCATCGGTCTAACGTTATTCGTCTGTCTATGTTTAACCACTGGTCGATTATAGATGTATGTCGTGTCGTGACAATACGTGAACATATTAATTAGTGATTAGCCGTTAAGTGTGTTGCTCATATTGTGGTCACTTTTCTGGAGGATCACCTTTCTTTACTCATAAGATCCAGGTTCATGTTATTTCATATTCACGAATCCAAAATTCAGTATCAAAAGTACGGAGCTATCAGGCAGCTAACATGATGAGCAGTAAAATTGACGATGGAACAAGTTTATTGCCATCTGTGCGTAGCATCTTACACGAAATGGAAGTAACATATTTTACGGAACAGATTTTGTATTTGTCAAGCAGATTAGTTTTTTCTTTGAATAATTTTTAAAAAATCTTATCTCGTTGATAATAGATACAGTTTATGTATTCTTTCCCACCATTTTATTTAAAACATTAAGATAACAATTTTAAATTCTATGGATGTTGTTGGTCGTATAACAAAACCGCCTATTTATCATCCATACATTAATTATAATGGACATCGTCTACATGTTGGCATTTCATATTCTCAATATCTTTGGCCATGGGTTGGATATTTGGCTGTTTATCTGAGTGTAACACCCGATTCTATTGACGATATTATTCCATCGTCGCGTTTCTCAGGTGTTGCTGAAGGTTATGTCAGTCTTGTTGTGGAATCTTATGATACTGTAAGTAACTTTATTTTTCTGAAGTTTTTAGTATTCATTTTCATTGTATATGACGTTGTTATGTTTATTATTTATTTATTTATTTAAACACATAAATATTGGTACAAGGAAGCATCAGATATATATGCGACGCACAAATCTCATTCGATTTGTGTGAGGGCTGTGATACTGTTGTAAAAATTTGTGGTGAAAGTTACCTTTGAATGTGTTAAACTATGATTTCATTATCATAATACTGAGGTATACTATTTTGAACGTACTGTCTTTCATTTTTGTCTTTTCTACATTCCCACAGGTTCGAAATCTATCATTAAACACAAATCTACGATTACCAATTAAAGCTAACATTGTACCTATTCCACATCGATCGTAAGTTTTTATCTGATTATTCAAATAACTGTATTCATAGGTAGTTTGCTAACTGAAATTTCTTTTCGTCTTTAATGCCCTGAGTGTTTTTTTCTCCTGAATAAATTCTGCGCATCTTTCTCACACCTGACTTACGTTCACGGGTGAAATCTAAGTTTTTCAAATCTGATTTTACGCTTATGATGTGAATGCACGCAGTTTAGTATCGCACTAAGCCAAAACGTCCATTCAGTACTTCCAGGTTGTTGATAATTGTCTAACTTAGAACTGTTCATTGTCTTGATTGAAATCCTTATTCAGATTAATTCTAATATGATAAAATTTATATATTTGACTACGTGTTCACACTTACTTAAAACGTTTTTTTCGTTTTATTTAGAAAACGAATTCTCTTTGATCAGTTTCATAGTATTCATTATCCATCTGGTTTTATTCCTCGAGATGATTTGACCCGATCAAAGGAACCATTAGATTGGTAAATGTTTCAGGTTGTTTCTTTTCTTTTCTTGCATCACTCATCATACGTGCTTTATTGTTTATCAATTTTATTAGGCGTGTTTTCTTCAACAGTTAGTTAGTCAGTCATAATCACCATAAGGCTTGAGATAAATATGCGTTAATCCATGTTACAATATTAAATTTTCATTACAAATTAAATCGGAATGGTTTCAAAATGACCATAATATCAATGATAATCAAAAAGACAGTACACTGAAAGCACATTACAAAAAGATGAGAAAAAGTGGTGCATGTGTGTGTGAACAGTGATTCTGTAATTTAAGATCATAATTGTTAGATAAAGAGTGAATCTTAAACCTGGTTGTTCCTTTGCATTTTGAAGTAGAGAAATGATTTGCTCTATCCTTCACTGTACCAGGACATTTAGTTAATGCAGATATTCGTTTTATTTACATCTTATTCAATCAATTATATTTATCTGTGTACTCTTTATTCGGTAATTTGTACTTTTCATAATACACTTTTACGACTAGTAACATCTTCCTTGACCTTTATTAGACTGTATACACTTTTTCACTTCTTACGTTAGTTCTTAAAATGTAGTTTTTTAATGATAATTGTTCAGTAAGCTTTGAATCGTTTAACCTTTTTTTCTAGGTTAGGAGATCATATTCACACAAATTTTCTTGATCTATATACACATCTACGTAGAAAAAGTTATTTCATTGAAGTATTAACCTCTACATTTGACTGTTTCAATGCGTCTAATTATGGTAAGTACTTGGAAATTAGTCTGAATTATAAACTGTGCTGTACGTTGGACGTACTTCTTATGTATCAATGTTCAGGGAGATAGTCTTATCAGTTAGCACGTAAACTTAGCTAATTTCTGAATTATCAGTATAGGGTTGTGGAAATTGTTGAGTTTAGATTGATATCACGAATGGATCAATGTTAGACTACTATTGAAGACCTGGAAGCACTGGACGGAGCACTGCTGACGAGTTCCATACTAGAACGAAATGGATGTCCAGTGCTTCCAGATTTTAATAGTGGTTTAAAGTCGATAGATTCATGGTGTCATTCTAAATTTTTGAATCAGCATGACGATTCAGCCAATCAGTCAGCTACAACGTAGGACCAGGCACACATATGCATCGGTCCAAGTTGCCATATCTCATTAGCACAACAAGATGAACACCGAATTCATAGGAATAGTTAATTTAGTGGTGGTAGTATATAAAAGGTAGGTTGTGTATAAGGATATATCATAGGAAGGAAGAACGTTATGAAGCAATTTTAATCTTGAGGTTTAAGGGAAGATAAAGAGTGTATACACCTACGCCATTGTGATCGATTCTGAGCCATGTCACCTAGTCTCCGACCATTGGTTACGATAGTCACGCGGGCCCCAACCAGGTAGTCTGCATCTGCCAACATGGCTCAGATTAGAAGTTAGTGACTTCAAGCACTGATGCCACGTTTTGGTTTGGCCGCCCCTAACTCTCTTCCAACCATCTCCTACACTAGTCAGCATAGCGCGTCGTGGTTATCGGTGTTCAGGCATACATAACACGTGGCCCAACCATCTCAGTCGATGAAGATTCATGACCTCATCAACTAATTTACCATCATTCCCTAATACCCTGTGTCTAACCTCACTATTACTTACCCGGTGATCCCATCAGATGCGAGCAATATTTCTAAGGCATGACGATTACAATCAAAGAATGCAAATCTGCTTGCTGTTTATGAAAGTTATAAGGAAATATCTTTATTATTATTAGATGTTATGATTTTCGGTTGTTATTCGAAATCAGTAGTGCTATTGTCCAACAGGTCGTCGATCTGATTACGATAAGTGAATGATATATGGATTTCGTCATCAAATGACTCAATAAAACAGGTGAAATAAAATTAAAATATCCCATGACAGTGTAATCAGAAAAAGAAGACTATCAGAATTATGTGATATGTTAACGCAATACATTTCGAACAATCTATTCACACATATACTTTTTAAGAACATTCATATATTAAAATAAAGGGTCAACTAGACTAGAAACGGAGGGAAAGAGGAGACAAGGATAATCGGTTGATATTACCATGGTAAGTTTAAAGTAAGAACAAACTGTTTATGAATACACCAAGTGGGTTTAAATTTTCGTACGGCTAATGCTTCAATACGCCTTTTTACACTTTTGTACATTACAAATAGCTTAGATTTCTTTATTTCATGTGTTCCTTGAACAGATTATCTCTTCGAATACTTTCAAGTTTAAAGAAAGTTAGTCATTATATTGAGCAACGTCTTGATTCCTTTGGATACATAATAAAATTGATCAACTCATTTTGTTTTTAGGTACATTCCTTATTATTGATCCAGAAGAAGAATTCTTTCCATATGAAATAGAAAAATTGTTTGTGGATGTTACAGAAAAGGGATTATCATAAATTGTTTTCGCTGATTGGTATAATACTAGTGTTATGCAAAGTTTACGCTTTTTTGAGACTAATACCAGGTTAGTGAAATTTGTGTTAAACTTCATGTATCATGTATCATTATTTTTCTATACTCCTATTACCCCTTCCAGCCATATAGAATGGTGAAGCCTAGTAGGCCCTTCTGGTGAAGAGTGCTACAGCACGGCACAACTACCGGGATGGGATAGCTGTTTCTGAAATGCCACGCAGAACCATTACATAACTCTGACACAGAACCCTTTTTTGTCTTTTTTGTTTTTATTTGGGCAGACTCTTTTTTATTTTACCTCTCTTTTTGAGCACTCAATAGTTATGCAATGACTCCTTGTAGCACTCTTAATCGTTTTTTGGGTATTGGTAGAGTGGTTGACTAGGCGGATCTCTACGATTAACCGCTCACGTTAGTTCATGGAAACAGTCCCATGATTCAGGAGGTACTACGAGGAAGTGTAAGTCGAATTTCGCCCCCATGCTCCTATTATTATTGTTATCACTTATACTTCGTATCATGTACAAGATTTCATATTATATAAAAATATTGTGTTATTTCATATTTTTTTCTTCTAAATAACCAAACTATCTAATCATGACACTGATTTGATAGTCAGTGTATGGTGTGATCACGTAATTATTTAAACGCATGTGTTATGTAATCTTCAATGGGTTGTTGTTGAAGCACTCTGGTTGTAAAACCTATAAAATATGTATTTTGTTAATCCAATACTCAATTGTTAATTACTTTCGTAATGACTCGGTATCCGTTGTCCGGATATCATCAGCAAAAGCCCACTGTTAGAGAGAACAAACTAGTTTCTAGGTGAGGAGAAATTAGGAAAAGATGTTGGAAATGGATTGGACACATACTGAGGAAATCACAAAATTACATCAGGAGACAAGCACTTACCTCTATTCGCTTGCTTTTTTTTCTGTTTTTTGACTTGATCTTACGTTTTTCCAGACGTTTATGGACTCCAGACACTGGTGGATCTAACCTACCGGCTTTGAATGATTTACTTCGACCATTTAACATTGAATTCGGGTGAGAATTTTGTTATTTTATTCATTTGTTGTTGGATCCTTTGTGATTATGATTTCGATCCTATTGTTATTAATTATTGATGAGTGAAATAATGTTTAATTTAACTGCACTGACTTGTGTATAGTTCAGGTCTTAGTCAGTCAGCCAGTCATAATCAGCATAGAGCATAGCAAAAATGTTTGTTGGTCTCTAGTTGTCATCAACACTAGGAATAGTATGTTTATAGAATAGTTTTACAATTATCTTGATTACATTCTTCAGTGAGAGATGATAACATAAAATTTGTTTCTGAGTAAAGTGAAATGTTCCAGCCTTTGAGATAAGAGATAGAAGTCGATGAGTAAGTAAATCGATATTTGAAAACTTGACGAATAATAAACATGCAATGGTGATATTATAATTTAAGGAAGACCTTTGTGCAACACTCAAAACACCTTGGAAATGTTAACCCACGTACCAGGGTGAAATGAGGGTAGTAAATCGGTGTGAATAATCAGGATGAGGATTTACACTCGGACGTTATGGTTTGGAATTAGATTTAATATTTTCATGACGAACTGATATCGGCTATAATGTAAATCAGCTAAATGGTTGGATGAATTTACCGCTAAAATTCAAGACCTGCTATCCTAAATCAGATTGGGGCTTCGATAAATTATAGTCACGCCGTTTATAAATGATACCTTTATATACAGGTCAGAAACTAGCCAAATAAATTCACGGAATACGTGTTCATGTATTTTAAGTATCTTTTAGAGAATTGCGAAGGCTGATAAGTCTCTATATACTTTATCGATTGTGATTATCACAAACCACATTTCATACAAATTGTACCTCCGAATGCCCTGGTACGGCCGAGAGTGGGGAGAGTCCGCTCTCCCTCTCGAAATGCTCTCACATGGCCACGCGTATACAGCCTCTGACAAAAAAGGCCTACTCACTGCCTTCTCGTGGCGGGGATGTTGTTCACGAAAGTGAGGGGAAGAAAAGCAAACGTCCGGCGCTTTAACCGGGTTGGTGGACACGGGAAGTCCACCTAGGGGAGTTAGAAAACCCTGATTCCAAACCAATGGTGCACATGGGCTGGCTCCAGTATCCTGGAGGAACAAATGGCGTATGAAACAATCTTTGGTCGCCGGCTACCAATGGACTGCATCTCCTCTCGATGCTCCACTGTCTTGTGGATCAGACCTTTAGGTCAAAGGCTCGGGGTGTGGTGCCTTAAGAAAACCACCTGCTTCGGTCTGGGCACACGGGCAGTATCACAGCCCTCACAGAAATTAAATGATATTTGTGTGGTGCATATGTACCTGGCGCTTCTTTCTACCAATATTTGTGTGTTTAAATAAAATAAAATAAATAGTACCGCTTCTATCCCTTTAAACTCTAGCTAATATGCAATCCATGCCTAATTGATAAAATTCAATCACTACTAATGAATTCATTGGTAAAGTTCTTCTAGTCTTGTTTAGTCGTACGAATATGTTATGAACATAAATCTCCAATTTGACTCTATATGTTATTTAGACTCAACTCGTTTGCGTAACTATGGTAATAGGAAGCAGAATACGGGTTTCGTTGGATGAATTTATTTCAAAAACTCGTTCATCCAGACAGACGTTCAGAGCAAGAAGCGGTAAAAATGTAGTGGAGTGAAATGGCGAGCCATACAACCTTATTTTCATAAAGCGTGACTGAATATTTATAGTCAGGCAAAAATAAGCATCAGCCACGTAGTGAATAATGTTATATCCTGCCGACGAATAAATGAATGGTAACTACTAGGAGTTAGTTATCGCCTATTATTACATATATTCTTATTGTATAACTATTAGGTAACTATATTATATGTATACTCACATTCGTTTTGTTATAAGCTTCCATTTGACCTATTAACGACTATTATACAATTTAGTGTTCTTAACTTATTCCCAATTTATCAGTTACAGTCTCTCACACTCACAGCCACTTTTGGCTTCATCTTGTGTGATTATTATTTTTCATTTTATGATGTGATGCGGTCTGGTCTACTTGTGTATAAACCAAGTATGTCTGAAATACATGATTCATACGGTGGAAGCTGAGATTGTGTTCTGAACTCCGACGGATAGACTAGGCGAGACGGACCAATAAGGACTCTAGATTGACTCTATGCTGCTCATACTGGTTAACACGTCACTGGTTAGACACAGTTCCAAGGTTGTATAAGTCGACGTTGTGATTGGCAATGTAGTCGAGTGATATTCGACGGGGCTAAGGACATGTGCTCTTATAAAGACAGTCAAAGTGTTTATAAGCGAGTGATTGACAAGGTCGAAATGTGACTCAAGAAAAATGAATCAATTGATCTGTTTCTATGATAGAATAATACATGTTTGCTTGACCTTGTACTAGACCCTACTAAGTAACTATCAGAATGAACCGTTCTTTTTTGTTTCATGCTATTTATTATCTTTCCGTTGGCTTTTTTAATACTTATCCAATTTCTCGGATTTTTCATTCTGTCGTTTATTCTATTTTCTATTGATAACATTTTGGTAGTGATTCTGTATTCTCTGGAAATTACGTAATAGGACATCGAACTGGTAAGTTAATGTGTTATTTCTATGTAATAAGGAGTGGATTGGATTTTGATGATTTTCTATTTTCATACTGTGTTTCCTCTGTATTTTGTATTGTTTTAATGTTAATTGGTCAATTATACGCCAACAATGATGTCTCGTACTATGCAACTGCTAGACTCAGGTTCACAAGGAACATTAGTTCCTGAAGGACTGCAGGTACAGCTTACCGACGAGCACCCGCTAACATGATACGTTCATCCAGAGTGTCCTCTCGACTAACTGCAGCCATTTAACTGCAAAACATGATTTTGATGTTGAGTCACTTAAACTAATAGCCATAATGCAACTTGATTGATAGAATTCTATTCATTTGTTGAAAGACATCCACATGCAGGTACTAGTATTCTGCACATTTTATCCAGCTCTTAAGGCCGTACATATTTCATGCCCATAACATGTAATAAAGCATATTTTGTGAGTGGAAACAGGTAACCAAATCAGTCGACTCTATGCTGAGATTTTGTTAACATGACATTTTACGTTTCTCAAGCCAGAAAAGACATAATGAAACACTCATTATCATACAGTACACTCGATATGTTATATTCTCGTTACCATTTTGTTGATTATGAATTTATTAAAATGAGGGTTTGTGGATATTGTAGTAATGTTTTCAATCTTTGAATTCATGAGTTGATTTGAACTAGACCATTATCGAAAACCTGAAAGTACAAGACGACCGTTTTGACCCCGTATGAGACACCTCAGCAACACATGCACGATCTCGCACGCGAGACCGAAGGTCCTGTGTTTGAGTTGCACATGCGGGATTGTGAATGCGCTCTGCTGAGGAGTCCCATGTTAACGGTCATCTAGTGCTTTTAGCTTTTCTATAGTGGTCATGAATTCAGCGTTTAAGAATTCATTTAATAAATGTTTCTGCGATGTGATCTTCATATTATTAAAGTAATTAGCTGCTTTATTCTTTACAGAGAACATCATTTAAATGTTAATTGTGCTTAAGTACTTATTGAGCGTTGAATTTACGTAATAATTATTCGTTTTACAATCAGGGTTATTTTTCAGAATAGTTTAGTGTCTCAGTTGTATCCAGTCTTTTTCTTCTAGGTCTTCAGTTTCAGTGTCCTTTCATGCATACTTTTTTTCATTGAAATCGTGAACCGGTCTAAGCTAGATCATCATTGAAAACCTGGAAGCACTGGATGATCGTTTCGTTATACTACTGGACTCCTCGTATTTTCGGTTGATATGTTAAGCACGTATACCTTTTTCTAGCTTTTGGACAAGCCAATTTACCTATCCATCTTGAGTCGTGTTTTGACCTTATAATTATTCACTTGCTAACCCTGACTATTTGTTATATGAGCGTATGTGTGTACACTTTTTTTTATCTTATTCATCACATATTTGTAATTTATTTTTATCTGACTATAAATATTGATTAACGCTTGATTAAAGCGAGTTGGCTTACCCACCATCTCCAATGAGTGTCAATTTTGCTTCTCTCTCTTCTATTGGCTTCATCACTCTGGTTTCCTCTCCAGATCAATGAGTGTTCAAAATATATGTATTCAACATCAATTCTCGTATTTGAATTATTTGATTCCGTTATTCACCAACGCGGATTAAGTTATGTATTATATACGAGGATAGACAGGATGTATATTTTGACAACAATCATTCATATGATCTCAGATCCTAGCCCACTATATCCTCAGCGGTGCTTATACACTACCACTCACTTGGGGATCGAGCCCATCACTTTCATTTTTGCGCGCGCTAACACTTAACTTATGTACCAGTGAGTTTGTATGCAGCGGTGTTAGTGTCTGACCTCAATCAATCCACAATACCACGCAACCATCTTTTATTATCTTTGGTGAGTAATTGCCTCATATCTACCGGTCACGGATTCTCATTGAGATTCGGGAAATTTCCTGTTGAAGCTAGTCACTACTGAGCACATAATAATTGTTAGTATGTTGTTGAAGAGATTGTTGTCTGGAAGTTAAAAATTCGCGAGATGCCAAATGTCCTTTCTTCATGTTTTAGGGAAATTCAATCATCTCTACACGTCCGCAATGACATACTTACATCGTTAAACCTTTCTCAATATCACTGATACGTCTACTACTTAGATCCTTTTGATATTCTTGTTGAAAATGTCATCCCACTGCTTTTTATGGTTTGATAAAATGTGCTCTTTTTTGTATTATACATACTTTAACTATGTGTGGTTGACGACTGACTTAGTATTTCAATACATTTTTATGTAAATGTATATGTTAGTTAGTTGTCCTTGTAATTTGTCTCAAGTTCAATACATAAGCATATTTCATTGTTCTGAATGTATTGAAATCGTAGTACTAAAGGAATGTCTCGTTATGTATGTATATATATAGCTATGAGCGAGATCACATGTAGGGGACAACCAATTTATTGTTTAATACAAGATTACATAATATCTTCGTACAATATGAGAATCATACATTAAGGACTTCATTTGCAACTCTTCCATCAATTGCCCATTACATTCTGTATTATTCGTTCAATTCACAATTCCTTTCTATCTGCCTTTTTGTTTTCGTCAACTCGATCTTCTTAGCCTTCCACTGTCATACCCTTCACTTCTGACTAGTGTTACATACTACTTATGTTGAAAGATGTAAGTAGCATACACCACAATATAGACATCAATCAAGTTTACATCTTATGTTCATTAGATATACTTTGTCTCATCACAGTTTTTCACGACTAAAGTGCTAACTATCTTTCATGTTGTTAACTTTGTTCATGCAGAATCATTGTTTGCTCTTCCTTTTTCTCAGTTGCATATCATTCAGGTAGCAGTTTAAGAAAATTTCCTAATCGAGCTATCGCTAATCATACTGGTCGAACTGTACTTTTAAAAGCTAATCTAGTGGATATTGGTAATCAGTTCATTCAACATGATTCCATGTTTTTAAAGTCAGAATCAGTAACATCATTGGAAAGTGATAAAATCCTTGGTAATTCTGAACTAAATTTACGTTTAAAACCAATAATTGATAAAGATCCAACACCAACTATACTTGGTCTATGGACTCCTATCGTTGAAAATGTAATTAGTGAAATGGGACGTTTGTCAATTTATGGAGATTCGGATTGTTTAAGTTCTACGCATTTAAATTCAAGTAATTCGTTTGTTCGCTATTGTTATTCCATGATTCTTTCACCTACAGATAACAGTAAATGAAATGGTGAAGTGTATATGAGATGAAACAAAAGATAGACGTTCGAAAAGGGATTTCACCTCAAACGGTAATTGAATATGCTTAAAATAATAGTATAATGGTATAGTATAGTACTGTGCAGGTGGATGAAGTGAAATGAATAGAAAGTTTTGATAATGAAAATGAATTTAAATGTGCACAAATCATAAAACTTTACGCATATTTCTCCGCCCTTACCCGAGATGTCCACATATAAGCGGAGATCTTGGATAGGAAATAATTTGTTTCCTCCATTAATGTTCCTCATATTTCGATTTCTCACCGTTCGACCTTGAGTTGGTATGACGTGTGCGAACTCTCCCCACCTTTGACTGTACCTAGGCATTCCGGTGCATCTGATATCCTCGTAACACACCGGTGTTGAATAACTTCTTCCATGTTGACCTAAAAGATTGAGTGTTTCTGCAGAATCTCTTGAAAATTAGAGCAGTTGAAGTAATATCATTATAACTCTCTCCATTCCCCTGATATCTTGATCTTCATGCAAAAGTAAATTCATACACACTCTATGCCTAATTATTATTTTTAATTAACACTACTATGGATTCAACTACTTTATGTTCAGTGAATATGCGTTTTTCATTTTAAATTGATCATTAAATTATCGAGTTTGCTCTAATGATAACTACTTCACTTTACACGGTAAAAGGATCATTCAGTTAGTCACAACGTAGAACTTCGTACGTACGTACATCAGTTCGAGTTGCCATATCACATTAACACAGAGATGAAGTTGTCGATTCAAATCTCATAGTGGTAGAAGTAGTAAGAGTATAAGCATTATGTGAAAGATTAGGGTTTGAAGATGTTATTGAAGAAGCATAATACAGTGAAATAAATTTGGAAAGACAAAAAGGATAGGGACATGAGGAATTCGGAAGATTAGAATTTGGTAGAACACAAAGAGTGGATGCACCTTCGCCATTGCAAACGATTCAAGGTCTCTAACCATCGATTGCTATCATCTCGCGAATCCCAACCAGGTGGTCTACACCTACCAACATGGCTCAGTCCACTTGTAAGCGACTTCAGGGATTTATGCCACGTTTTGGTCTGGCCGACCGTAGCTTTCTTCCAACCTACTCCTACACCATAAAGCATTTCACATCGGGGCAGTCGGTGGTCGGGTATACGTAACACGTGTCCCAGCCATCTCAACTGATGAAGTTTCACTACTTCATCAATGGATTTGCCATCCTTACGTAGTACCCGTTTCCTAACAACTGCATTACTTACCCGGTTGTTCCCAGGATATACGAGCAAAGTTTCGAAGACACCTATGATCGAGTACTAGTAGCCTACGAATATCCTCTACTCTTATCGGCCATGTTTCACTGCCATAAAGTAGTAGGGAACGAATTGCTGCACAGTAAACCCGTCTTTGGTTGATAGACGGAAATCTCGCCTACGCCATAAATGACGCAAGCTGGCGAAATCTAGACAAGCCTTCTGTATCCGTGCTGAGATTTCGTCAGCACGGATCACGGATTTTCACTGATTATATATCATCAATAAAACAAAGAGTGACCGAATATGCTAACTCGATGTATCAGTGTATATAAGTTACTATATTCCCTAGTGTTTAATCGCAATACACAAGCAACAATCTCACTAACTCTAAATCAGTATAATTCAAAAACTCACAAAATAATAGAACTTAATTGCAAATAAAAAAAACACCATAACGAAAACAGGAACTCCCATCATATGCATAACTATGTGGTTTATAATGCATAACAGAACAATAGGTATATAATAATTCGTCACCTACAAGAACGATCAAACACATACCATATATAATGGTAGGTTACTGTGGAATAGTCCTCAAAGTCCTGTCTTTCATACTTATCTAATGTACATCGCCAGTATTTAAGTCCCTTTTAAACGGCTCTATTTCCTTTTTCTTTCTGTAAATATAGATTGCTTTTGGCTGTTAGATGCATTGCTTCAATTCTCAACCAGTAGTATGGGACGAATCCCACGAATTTTAATTGAACAAATGTTTACACCGAATACAGAAATTTGGATTGATTCCTCACTGACAGCACCTTTACGCGCAAAAAGTTTGTTCCATCCATCTTTTTATAATATTTGCTTTTTTCCATAATTTAAAGCAACTGACTAAGCGTTTTCGTGTAGGTTGGTTAGCTACTGAGCCAACTTTTAGAGTAGTTTGGACTGTGATCCAATATTTTGTTGCTTAAATTCTCTATATTGTTTCAAATACTGCTTCCGATTCCCTGTATCAACATCAATATAATGTTATTCGACTAATCAAACTGAAGCATATTGGACGTCGTTACTCTTGGTTCTTTATTAATCTACAGTTCAGTATTCTTATTAGTTGGTTACCGTTTGCGCTAGATTTCATTTGTTTGTGTGGTTGTACAGATTCCGGCATTTTGGAAGGATACTTATAAAGGAATAATATATTTGTAAAATCTCAGCGAATGAATTTGTAGTAAATCCAACGTTTCGCCTGGCAATCTGGTCGAAGCTTTTTCAAGGAATTATAATCAAACATCAAAATTATCGAATATAAATAGGTACACGGTTCTTATAAAGGTAACTGAAGAAAGTAGATTGAAAGGAATCTCGCTAGCATGTTATTGTTTGTAGCACAAAATGACATTCATAAATGAACTAACTCTAGTGGTTATTGATGCATTAGCTTCGTACATGTTTTTCGTCATTGACAGAAATCTATGAGGTATAGAGAGATCTTTCTTTTATGATTGACCTTTCCTGATTCCCTTATTTGTTTATGCAAAGAAACCGCATCGCTCCAAATGCTGATTGTCTTAGAAAAACATGTTACTGCCGTCACACTCTAGTATCGTTGATAGTACGGATTCACACGTAGACTTTAATTCATTGCTCTTAGTCTTATAGCTCATCAACTGACCTAGTTCATATGACAGAACAATAAAATACCAAGTATTTTAGCCAAAATAACTAGATTTGGTTATCTTCTTTATGTAAACTTGACCATCACCAAATTATTCTCGTTGAACGGCGTTACTCTTCGTTCCTTCTTTAACTAGAGTTAAGGATTTTTATTAGTTAGATACCGTTCGCGCTAGATGTTATTTGTTTGTGTGGTTGTATAGGTGTGTGGGCGTTTCTCACTATCCAGATTCCGGCATTTTGGAAGCATACTTATAAAGGTAACTGAAGAAAGTAGATTAGAAAGAATCTCGTTAGCATGTAATTGTGTGATTGTAGCACCAATGATAATGAATATATCTTGATTACAATCACGATTGAATTGGATCTGTGTTTATGCACTTCTCCCTTTCTATTTTATTTTACAAGATTCTCAATTAAATCTATATAGTAATGTGTTAAGAAAAGAATGGAATTTATCTACATTGAATACTAGTTATCTACCAATTGAAGCTTATTATTCTGTTGAATTATGTTATATCGCTCCAAAAGCTTCTATATTGATAGATAATGGTAAACCAAATGAGTAAGTCTTAATTATCGTTTTCGTTTCTTCGTGAAGTTTATATGGGTTTAACAATTACATTGAGTAGTATCAACACACATACACACCCATTGAGTTTTTCAATAAATACTCGGATAATATTATAATGAATGGCTTTATTCAATATAACATTTCGGGGACAATATAGAATTTTCTGTACGTAGCACTTCAACTAGTTTCTTTCTGTTATTTCGTGCTCCATCCTGACAATGAATACTGAGTAATATCCAGTTAGATGTTAGCAGTTCAGCAATCAATACCTGAATTATATTGATTCTTGTCAATACACATCGCCAGCCAACATAATATCTGTTTTGTAACTTGTCCAGCGAAATGTTGTTCACTTCTCATAAACACCGCTTATTTAGATATATCTAAATGGAAGGAACAGGTAACCCAGTTATATTCAAGCAGGCCGACTACAATCACTTTCAATGTATTCTCAAGCAATCGAAGTATTTCGATAAGGACTGAATATTTAATGTCATATTTTTGAGAACAGAACTTTTCTTTGTTGTTCAGATGCATATTTATCAAGCCGATCAATGCTGATTGGCAGAAATAATTCAGATAGTTAAAACATTTATTTTTTTATTTTATTTAAACACATGAATATTGGTACAAGGAAGCACCAGATACATATGCGCCATACAAATCTCATTCGATTTGCTTGAGGGCTGTGATACTGTCCAGGTGCCCAAACTGAACCAGGTGGTTTTCTTAGGGGCCCACACCCGGAGCCGTTGACCGAAAGATCTGATCCACAAGGCAGTGGAGCATCGTGAGGAGATGCATTCCCATGGTAGCCGTGACCAACGATTGATTCATACGCCATTTGTCCCTTCAGGATACTGGAGCCTATGTGCACCATTGGTTTGGAATCAGGGTTTTCCAACTCCCCTAGGTGGACCCTCCGTGTCCACCAACCCGATTAAAGCACCGGACATTCGCTTTTCGTCCTCTCACTTTCGTAAACAACAGTAATGCCACGAGAAGGCAGTGGGTAGGACTTCTTTGGCAGAGGCTATATATTCGCTGGCCATGTGAGAGCATTTGGAGAGGGAGAACGGACTCTCCCCACTCTCGGCCGTACTAGGGCATTTGGGGGCAGTTAAAACATTATTAATTAGAAGTTGTTCAATGTTCCTTCAATTAGGGTGTTCACTAATTATATTCTGCCTTTTGGAATGAAATATTGTAAGAGAGAATTTTGGGCTGTTTATTATGTTAACTCTGTTCCACATATTTTTTCTAGTCCCCTTAAACCTAAACCATTTCGCAAAAATATAATGCTCATTTACTTCATTTAGTTTATTCGACAATTTTGAAATAATTTCCGTTAGATTTCAATAAACGGACTAGGTATGTAATCATATCATGAATATTTCTAAGTCCTAGCAGTATAAGTGGCGTCACTCGTGAAATAAGGCAATAATACTCCCATATACGACTCGCCAACTCTCGTATGTCTCTGCATTAAGTGTGTACGTTCACACTGAGACTTTAATATCAGCAATAAAAAAAATTACAAACGCTTAGTAAGAATTTCTTCAATCCTCTTTCAACAAGTCAATGAATATGTGAACTCAATAGCTTAGTGGATAACGTGTTGCCCGATTGAAACGATAACTACTTTGTTACAATCTAAACGTGAACATTGATATGCACTGGAATCCATGCACATCGATCGGATAAATCTCCAAATCTCCCCCAAATGCCCTGGTACGGCCGAGAGTGAGGAGAGTCCGCTCTCGCTCTCGAAATGCTTTCACATGGCCGCGCGAATATATAGCCTCTGCCAGGGAAGTCCTACCCACTGCCTTCTCGTGGCATTACTGTTGTTTACGAAATTGAGAGGTCGAAAAGCGAATGTCCGGTGCTTCAACTGGGTTGGTGGAAAAAGCGAGTCCACCTAGGGGAGTTGGAAAACCCTGATTCCAAACTAATGGTGCACATGGGCTCCAGTATCCTGAGGGAACAAATGGCGTATGAATCAATCGTTGGTCACGGCTACCATGGGAATGCATCTCCTCACGATGCTTCACTGCCTTGTGGACTAGACCTTCATGTCAAAGGCTCGGGGTGTGGTCCCCTTCAGAAAACCACCTGGTTCAGTTTGGGCACCTGGACAGTATCACAGCCCTCACAGATTTGTGCGTCGCATATATATCTGATGCTTCCTTGTACCAATATTTATGTGTCTAAATAAAAACAAAAAATAATAAGTCCCCAAATCAGATGAAATTTACTTCTTGGATTGTAAGACATGGATTGCCGTATCATTAGATCTGCTTAATCAGATAGATGACAGGAAGTCTGTATAAAATACCCTGTCACTTAGCATAACCTCATCATTTCAGTTATAATTTTGATTATTCATGGGTAAATTAACAGTAATATTTGTCTTACATTTTCCAGATCATTCTATCATCCACAAAACTTATTGCTCTATCCAGTAGAATTATATAATCCATCAAAACAATTATATACTACTCATTATTGTCATTCATCCATTTCAATGTTACCATCTAATAAGAACTTATTCTTAATCATCAAACCGAAATTATTATTACAATCTATTCATGACTTTATACAACTTGATATGTATATGTCCTTTAAAAATCATAAATTCAATTTCGTGTACATCATTATACTACTTATAGTAGTGTGCTATTTTTGTAAACGTGGTATCATGTTTTGCGGTGACAGTGTATTATATGTAACAGGATGGATTTTCTGTATGATTCGATATGTGCTGGTGCGTATTTTATTTCGTTTTTATAATTTATGGCGTACTTATATTAGTGATTGTTCACAAATGAGATTCAGCAAGATAAATGCTACTAATAACTCTACTACTACTACTACTACTAGTAGTAGTAGTAGTAGTAGCAGTAGTACTACTGTTGAAATATCACGGTTGTCACCATCTATTGTTCAGAAAATCAGCCAACAGAACAGACCTAATATACATATATGAGTATATAGAGGACAAACCATTGGTCAGCTTGTGAATTGCATATTCCTGTATTGATCGATTACGGTTTTGTGTAGGTCAAGTGATTAGATCTTCCAATGATTTCTTTACATCATATCCCTTTTTCTCAAATGTATATTAAGTTCATCCATGTATTGTGTTTGATTTCAATTCATTTGTGTATCCCTTTTCGCTTTCATATTTTCACCTATTTTGTAAATAGAAATGTGTTTCGGTATAAAATGATACTTGTTTTTCAAAGTATAACGATATATATCGCAGCATTCAATATTCCATTGAGAAACAAGGTACTTTTTGTAAGTAGTATGTATTTGTTAATCAATCAGTTAATTATATTTGATTGAATATAATTAATAAATGATTCCACGTCAAACAATAGACATGCATGAAACTGACTAGCACAACGTACTCAGAGGGCTAAGAAATGTGTCGATGATAACAGAAATTTGTTTAGTTACAATAAACTTGACGAAGATAATTTGGAGAAATTAGCCTACGCATAATTTGATCCTGTATTTGTATGGATTAGAAGGATTCGTAGGTGGCTTTGAGCTGTGTTATGTACTGCTAAACAATGATGTTCAGTTACGTTAACAAACGAAGTGATCTTTGAAATACTAAATGTAAACGTCATGTATTTATCACTGTATCCTTTTCAACCGTTTCTCTAGTTGAACGGAACCAGCAATCAGATTACAAATATTCACAGAAAAGCATTCAAATCTTCAGTTATATAACAATTTATTAGGATCAGATTATTCAACGAGTTCAGTGAATGTCTAAATGAATATTATTTCTTTGAATTAAGAGCTAGACTCGTACATTAATTTAACGAACTGTAGTCATTAAATGAAACTCACAAACATACCGATCACTACTATGTGTCTTATCAAAATGAACAAATATTATGAATCACGCTAATATAATAGGATAATAATGTCATTCAATTGGCAGGTTACGTGAAACGGTGATAGTTTACAAGCACATCAGACGACATTGACGTAGTGGCCGTTTCAGTAACGAGTTGATTGGTTGATTATAAACATAACTCACAACGCATAAACGATTGTACATATTAGTTTACATGTATGTACAAACACAGGTAGGAAATGACAATCATGATCTGCAAGTAATAGTGATTGGACACCTGGTGAAGTGATTACAATGGGAAAGAACTCCGATGGGTAAATAGGGGAATAAGATGGACAGACATCTTCTCCTAGTGAGAAATATTCAGTTAGAACGGGTCAAAGTGTTTAATTTCGTAGCTGAATTCATGAGTCCATATAAGCTAGACCGTATTAGTATGTGACTCATCACTCGTGCTTGTCCACTAACTTGAACTCGGTATTCGAACTATCTAAACCACTGGACCGGCATCCAACGGTGTCAGCGTCAAACTTCCATCAGCCTATGAATTTAACTATTCAAATTATTACAATATCCACAAACTCTGATCATATGGTTTATATCAATCAATTAAATGAAATGAGATATTCATCTGTCCTTATATTTATTACGGCAAAGTAATATTATGCAATGATCGAACTCCTTGTCTTTCCATCTGAATAGTCTTCAAAAATATCAGTAGTATAGGCAAACATTCATTTATTTTCCCTCACCAAAACACTTTTCTTAACTCGTTCACAACCTTATTCGAAGATTTAAATTCCTTTGTTACAGAAATTGTTGTTCGTGTTGTCTAGTTCATTTGTCTAAATCTATTTATTTTAACTGATCTATTTACTTGTTTTCTCGAACAACTGAAATCTACACCCGACATTAAAATCATCTATATTTCATCTTAGATGATCACTTATTACGTCGATCTTATTCGCTAATTCGAATAACGGATCTTTAGATAGCTGCTGCTGTTCTAGCAGCAAATAGAAAAAAATTGACAATTCTTTAAACCTAATCCAAGTATATTATGACATAGGGTCTGTATTCTGTGACTAAAACTATGTAGCCATTCATACGTATCGTCGTGTGAAGTTCACATAACTGCCAATAAACAAGTGTGATTATTTTCTATTGTTGTTCGAATTAAGGATTATGTATATTTGAAATACAAAATACTTGATGTGATGGATATAATTTTTATTCAACAGTTTTGCTAAGTCCTAACTACTTGAACAATAGGGGTGAGGGAATTCCTGCGTGTATCTGAAATGTAATAAAGTAAGAATTTATCATATTTAGATTGTTCATGCTTATTGAGAGTGAAATCATACTCAGTAAATAGAAAGAATTCAAAGCGGCGACTTTCCTATTTAGAAGATCACTGCAATATTTCATAATAGAAATGTGATTGTTGGTCTTTATTGTTTAACCGTCAACATGATAATTTACAATCGAATTCATGAATGAATATGAAACTGTTTAAAGTCTACATACTAAGAGGTTTGCTCATATACCTGGAGCTGCCGTTGAAAACATTTTGGTGAAACATTAGTTGTTTGTATGATAGTAATCCATTGGGTAATGTTTCACACACATTTCAAGATAATATCTAACTAGTTCGTACAAATATATACATATATATGTCATATCCCGATGAGTAGAATTATTGAGTTTCGTGCCTTGACTCAGTATAAGCCACTTCTTCAGAGTATAAAGAATCAAATTAAATTATCGCAAGTTTAAATAGTTCTAAGAAACAAATCTATCCACCATTTGTCCTGCCCCATAATGCTTGTGGCTTAAGATATGATAAATTAATCCGCACAGGATGCCCATGTGTCAATAAGAGACTGATCAACTGGAATGCTAAACATGAATGGGAAGTTTCAAAAGAATAACACAAAGTGAATTGAAGCTTCACTCCATTCAACAGGCTAGTGACCGCCTAGATTCACTAGCTTGGTGGATGACGCTATGGCGTTTGAAGCGTGTTTTAGTGTGAAAATCAACACTAGGATTCAGGTACATCCAGACGACAAGTTCGAAGTAGAATGAAACGTGAGTCCTAGATTCCACTGGTAACCACCATCCACCTCTACACACGTGGTTGCATACAACTGATGAGAAACCACGAAATATAAGGAATTCATATTATTCGACATCAAAAGCTTACTTGGCTTTATTCAAATTCATAAAGGGTAGCAATAGCATGAAATTCGCAAATACTGTCTATACATGATCTTGAACACGAAGATTTTTCTTTACAATTAAATTTGCTTAATAAATTGATTTATTCATGCTCTTACGCTTTTGAACTACTTTGTTCTTAGATTAATTTCCAGTTTCAGATCGACGATCATCTAATGAATGATAGAAACATACATAGGTAGTCAACAGGGTTTCATACTTGCAGACAAATCACATCTATGCAATCTAATGATGAATGATTAGATACTAGATCAAATGACAATGTAAACGAGCAAAGAGGTTGTTGGAAACTATCAGATTAATATTTCGGGATGGTCGAAAATTCGCAACGATTGATTTGAACAGTTCATACGGTGATTCTTATCACATACTTGATCTAAATAAGCTCAATGTAGTATCAATAACGTGAGTGAAAAAGACTTATCGTCTGAAGAGATCGAGATGACAAACCAACACAACGTTGTGAGGAATAACGAATTAAAGACTGAAGATAAATAGATTGAATTCCTTAGCTAACAGCTAAGAAAATTAGAATTCACTTAAATACTAGCCCGAATATCAACAAACGAAAAACGTGGATGCGCACTGTTGAGGAGTACTACGATGGGACGAAACCGCCCTTCACTGCTTCCAGGTTTTTCATGGTGATCTAGCTTCAATCGACTCATGATATAAACTATTAAAAAACGTTATTGCGAAATTCAGAAAACTGAAGTGAACCCAATGAGCAATGATGTGGATAATTATTCGAAATAGCTCGAAAAATTAAATGCAACAGTCCGAATTGTCTGGGTAAGCATTTGTTTACACTCAGCAAAATTTAAGACAACATGAATCGACGAAGCTTATGATGATCAATCAAGTGATCTGCATTATCATAGCGTAACTGTTGAAGAATGAGATTCAGTCGTCTAGAGAAATATGGAGTTTTGAGTAGTTCACATCAAAAACAAAGTTGCTTCAAGGAATCAACGAGAATCCATTCAATGAATTTCTAGAAATGACAATGTTAAATATCAACTCTATTCAAATGTCATATGGTTACTGAAAGGCTCTCAAATATTCAGTAATCTATCTATGTTTGATAGCAAATACGTTGGACACTGGGATATGGTGGATTTGTTAGTTTCTAGTACTGTATCAAGCTCACATGTATCGTTTTCGCCTCTAGACAGATCATTTCGTTCATTTTCTTGAGTCATATTTAGAACTTGTTCATTATTCTCGTGATAACACTTTGACTGTATTTTATGAGTCTATGAGTATACATAGCCTACATAATTCGTTATATCTTTAGTTTATTTTTACCCGGTTATAAATTTTCAGTCACGCTGAAAGTAGTCTACATATGTCGGGTAATGTAAGCAAACACTTGAGAGCTTTAATTATAATGATTAACTGAGTTCCAGCATCGATTTACCGAATCATAAAAAGCTTGAAATGAATCATGATGCAAACAAAAATTTACTTACGAACATTAGGGACGGCATCGCACCTATTTTCAATGAATTCCACTAAAAGGTACAGAAATCAAAGTTGTCAGATTCGTCATAATGTCAATATTGTCATTCACTCAAAGGATTTATACTTACGCAAGTCGTTCATGTTTGGACACAGGAGTCCCATATCGGAATCTGAATAATTTATAGAAGAACACCGATTACAATTTTCATAATGTTTATATGAAGAATATGAGTGGTTGCTTCGAATTGCTTAGGGTGATGAATTTCACCAGAAAGCAAATATTGAAATGAAGCAAATTTAACGTGGATTAAAATTTACGATTTCCCACCTCACACGGAGTTTTTATACTTCAAGGAGTCATGACTAATCTGTTACTTAATTTCAGAGAGGACATGATGACAAGCATC